CACGATTGCCATGGCCGAGAGTCACCATCCTTTCCTCCCTCCCTCCACACTCCCCCATTGTTATCCACCCTGTCCTCCCCCTCCCCCCCTCCAGCTGCTCAAGGTGGGAACGCTGATCAGTGTCATCCCATCCATTGTGATCGGTGTGTTGGGCGACAGCTCCTACTGGTGGTTCGCTGGCCTGCTCCCCATCATTCTTCTTCTTAACACTCCCATCTTGTTATCCACCCTCTCCAACCCCTCTCCACCCCCCCGCAACCCCCCTCTCCCTCTCCCCCTCTCCAGCTGCTCAAGGTGGGAACGCTGATCGGCGTGGTGCCGGCCATTGTGATCGGCGTGCTGGGCGACAGCTCTTATTGGTGGTTCGCTGGCCTACTCGTCATCATTGCCAACGTGGGCTATGGCCTCTGCACCGTCAGCTACAACAGGTGAGATTGAAGCAAGGCTGTTAACGCGTATGGAGGTTCTGTGGCATCTGTGCTGGCCAGTTGGTCATCATCGTCAACATGGGCTACGGCCTCTGCACCGTCAGCTACAACAGGTGCGATTGAAGCGAAGCTGTAACGCGTATGAAAGTGCTGTGGGTCGCTTGACCCCACATTCTTCATTCGTGGAAGGACTCATCTTTCTAGATGGCGCTGCCTCCGGCCCTCAACTCTTTGCTGCCATGCTCCTTGTCATCCTTTGTTGTAACATCCGTGTCTCTCATCGTCCTTTTGTACCACACTGCCAATCACTCTCCATCTGGTTTGGCGTCGTCTCAGAACTTCCCACAAACAATACCCAGTGCCACATCGTTCCCTTCCCTTTCCTGCCAATGCCCCTGTTGCTTGTCCCATCCCGTGATGCCCCGATTCTGCCCTGCTGCCAGCTACCTGCCTGTGCTAGTGGATGCCACGCCAGCAGTGATGCATGCTGAGGTGTCAGGCGACAAGGAGAAGATTGCAGCTATCAGAGAACAGGTGGGTAAGGGGCGAGGGGAACAGGTGGGTAATATGGATAAGGGGCGAGGGGAACAGGTGTGTAATATGGATAAGGGGCGAGGGGAACAGGTGTGTAATATGGGTAAGGGGCGAGGGTTTGAGTGGATTAGTAGGTGATTGATTGGCATGGGAATGGAATTAGGCATTGGGAAGGGCGGGCGTTGGAAATGGGATGTGTGAGGAGGAAGTCGGGTTGACTGGAACTAGGCTAGTGCCTCTTATGCTGGGTCTTTGTGCCTGAAAGTGTGTTCTATCCTCCTATGCTTCTCATCAGTGTTAGCCAGAAGCCCACACAGTGTACATACACTCATGACACGATGTGACATGCGTGACGCACACAATGTGACACAAATCGCAGATCTGCCCTCCTGCTCCCTACCCCTCCCTCCACCCATCCCACCATCCCATCACAGTGTGTCATCTCAGGTTAAGAACCGCATTACTTTCATCCCATCCACAGCAAGCTGCCTTCCACTCACGTTCATAATTCATTCTCTATCTCTCTCCCCCTTCCCTCACCCTCCTCCCCTGTCTCCCTCTCCTTAGGTTGAGAACCGCATCTCTCTCATAGGCCTCGCAGCGGGCTGTCTGGCAGACGTGGTGGCGACTCTAGCTGCCTTTGTGATCACCCTCGCCGCCACCACCGACCTGCTCAAGATGCGCCTCGCAGGGGCCTTCTGCGGCCTCTGGTGGCTCGTCTTCTCCATCTTCACCTTCCTCTGGCTCCGCACCCGCCCCGGCCCGCCGCCGCCCGCCTCCTCCACCTCGGGAGGCAGCGGCGCCGTCGGCGCCGTCCTGACTATCGCCGCCAGCTGGCGGCACATGGGCGCGCTGATCTCCGAGGCGCGGCGGTACCGAAACGCGTTTGTCTTCATGCTGTGTTATTTTATCTATGCGGATGGATTCTCCACTGTGATTCAAGTCGGGGTGCTGTTCGGTCAGCACGACCTGTGTGTAGAACCGGCAATGCTCGCAGTCATCGCAACCTCAGTCTCCTTCTGGGCCGCACTTGGGATGCCGTTGGCTTACTACCTTCAGAAGCGGCTCGGGTGGAACAACAAGACGATGGTCGTCGCGCTGCTCACAGCCATGCTGCCGCTGCCGCTGTGGGGTTTGCTAGGGTATTTTACCCCGGACGGCGGGCTTGGGCTGAAGGCGTCGTGGGAGCTGTTTGCGTATTCCGGGTGGTTTGGGTTCTGCCTGGGCCCGCTGATTTCCTACTCACGCACGCTGTTTGTGGACCTCATTCCTAAGGGCCGAGAGGGCGCCTTCTTCTCGCTCTATGCCATCAGCGACAAGGGCAGCTCATGGCTGGGGCCGTTTGTAGTGGCGGCTATCGCTCAGGTGAGCAGGCTTGAGAATCTTTGCTCTCACAAACTTCAGCTCTGGTTCCTTCTTCCTGGAACCCCCCTTGCCTCCTCCCACTTCCCCTCTTTCCCCCCGACAAACACACATGCCTATAGCACATAGTTGTGCTTCTCGTGATGCGCATTGCACATGGATGTGTGTTCATGCTGTTTGCTCAATTCATGTTGTACTTCATCATGTAGCTAACACCTTCCCCGTCATTTGTGCCTTGATGCAGTTCACGGGGAAGATCCGGCCTGCCTTCCTGTCCATCTTCATTGTGATGCTCGTGCCAATCTTCTTCCTTTAAGATGTCTCAAAAGTTTCCCCCCTCCTTTGTGCCGTGATGCAGTTCACGGGGAAGATCCGGCCTGCCTTCCTGTACATCTTCATTGTGATGCTCGTGCCAATCTTCTTCCTCCACACATACCTGGATTACTCACAAGGACTCAAGGAGTCGGGCCGGCACGACGGGCATGGGCAGCACCCGAGTGCTGACGACGCGGCTGAGCTTGGGGAGGAAGAGCGCGTTCCTCTCACCCAGTTCTAGTTGTTTTTTTAGGGAATTGGGACATTACTATGGTACTATTCACGAAGTGGATGCATAGTACCTTATAGAATAATACTTGCCAGCTCGACATACTCATATACCGTACGATTGTCTTGAAGACATTCCTGTAGTGAAGGTGCACATTCCTCTCGTTGGTCAAAGTACTACGATAGGTGCATAGAAGACATGCTAGTAGAGTTTTGCGGCATGAATTGGCAATATCAGTCTGTTACTGAAATTGATACTACAGCATAATTGTTTACGTGGCAATATCGAACCACAAGGTAGGTTATCCGCACGAACTGCTGCATGGAAGGAAAATATTGAGAGGTTTGGCAGCGATGAAAGCACTACATTTGGAAACATTGCCATAGGCACGGTTTTGGTATGCCGTAGGGCGAGCATTTTGACGAAGCCGTACTACATCGCTAGGCTCGGAAATTGAGACGCTCCCGAGGCGATGGGCGTGGGAGGGGCTGTGTGTCAAGCCTGGCGTGTTGGAGGGAGGTCAGGCAAGGAGGAGGGGAAGGGCGGATGAGCACTGGGCAGCAGGGCAGAAGGGGCGAGCCAAGTCGACCGCCAGTGGCCATCCATTTGGGTCGAGTTGAGAGCTGACACGCGCAGGCCAGGCGGGTGGGTGAGTGAGTGGGTGGTGCTGCCTTCACAAAGAAGCACCCAAGGTGCCACGTACAGGAAAGCACTCACCGATTTCAAATCAGTTGTAACTTGGAGAACCACATCGAACCTTTCTTAATTGCATATTCGTGCTCTTTGCGACAGGAACCCTGTGGGCTGGAATGGAAGTCAAGGTAGCAGAGAGACAAGTCAAGCAAATAATTTGGAGGAGAAACAAACGAACCTTGCAGCAGAGTGGAGCAACTGTTTTCTAGGGTGCATTTTCTCGCTCTTGCAGCATCAAGAGAGTTTCTGTTACAAACGGCACACGTGGGACAATGTTCTGACTTCGTCTCTTCATGCTGGCAGGGAATAGCCCATTGCTGCTAAGCTGACAATGCGACCAGAACTTCGTGCATGATAGGTCTTCGCATGTGAATCGAGAGTTTTGGCCGTGATAAGTGCGCTTCAGGAGAGTCGTTTTTCACGTAATCGGACTATGGCACACAACAGCTGGGAAGCCGACAAAATGTACGTTTTTCAGGCCCTAGGTTCCATACATTAGTATGTGCGAACATTGCGTACATAGTCCCTGTCGGCGTGACCCGGTTCTCGAGGCGCTACTGCTACCGTAGACTCTCTCGCATCGGAGTTCATGTCGCCATGTCCGCAACATTGGAAAGGCGTTCGTTGAAGCTCGCTTCCTCATCCCGAAGCACCCAGTCTCCCCGCTCCTCGTCATTGCGATTGCCTTTCTTCTGAAAACAATGCCCTTCAATTTTGTATTTGTTTTCCCCGTTCTTTCGTATCTCTTCCGTCATCGACACGATTCTCTCGTGTTTGCTTCCTCCTAGGTATTAAATTTATTGTTTTCTCGATCCCTTATCAGCCGGCGTCGAACGCCTTCCCATTATCTCAGTATATCTAGGGTTCGGCTCCAAGCATGACCAGCCAAGATCCGCATTTTCCTTCACATTTTGTTCGCTAAATCTGGTTACCCGGTTCCTGCCTCCAGGCTGGATGTGTACATTTACGACTACCTGTGCAAGCGAGGACTACCGAAATCCGCGGAGACGTTTCTCACCGAGGCGAAAGTCTCGTCAGACCCCGTCGGTACGACCCCGCCCTCTGTTACGTCTTCATCGTTCCTCCTTGTCATACCGATTTCTTTCTAACGACGACTTTTTTTGCCGCGTCCTGCATTGTTTTCCATACGCATTTGAATAACTTTTTCCTGTTCTTGCAGCCATAAATGCCCCTGGAGGGTTCCTTTTCGAGTGGTGGTCGGTGTTCTGGAACATATTTATCGCACGGACCAATGAGAAGCATTCTGAGGTCGCGGCTTCCTATATCGAGGTATGCGCCTGCAATCTCAGGGGGATTGGCCCAACTTAAACCAATTCCTAAACCAGTAAGCGAAATGCACCAAAAGAATCCTGTTTTTGCCGGTTGGGGGCCGTGTTACCCTGCCAACCCCCCATCTGTGCTGGCGACTCTTTTTCTACATGTCCCTGATTCCAGACTCAGCAAATCAAGGCGAGGGAGCTGCAGCGGCAGCAGAGGGCCCAGCAGAGACAGCAGCTGAAGCAAGAGCTAGGTGGTCCCATCCAACCATCCCCACACCAGGCAACCCAGCAGGTCGTGACCCCGCAACAGCTGAACCAGCAGCCGCAGCAGCAGCAGCAGCAGGGAGGAAGAGAGGATCCAATGCAGCAGGATGAGCAACAATTGCCCGTGCTTCCTGGAATGCAGCAGCAGCAGCAGCAGCAGCAGCAGCAGCAAGCACAGAGCCTTCACCAGCAGCAGCAGCAGCAGTCGCAAATGCAGCCCCCCTCACAACAACCGCAGCAGCAGCAGCAGCAGCAGCAGCAGCAATCGTCGCAGCCAACCCCCCCGCCACCCCCACCACAACCCGCAGCCTCTTCTCAGCAGCAACAGCAGCAGCAGCTGCAGCAGCTACAACTGCAGCAGTTGCAAATGCAGCTCCAGCAGCGGCAGCTGCAGCAGCAGCGGAGGGAGGCGGGGCAGCTGGCGGGGCTGGGGGGGAACGGGGCTGCGAATGGCGTGGCAGGGGGCGTGGCAGGGGAGGCGGGGTTGAGGCAGGCGGCGAGTGGCGTGCTGGCGAGCCGGCTGTATGAGGAGCGGCTGAAGCAGGCGCAGCTGGCCAGGGCGGAGAGCGGGGCGAGCATGGACGAGGCAGCTCTTAGGGTGAGTACCGCACACCGTGATGTGAGTAGGCTCGTAAGTGCAGGTTCTGAAGCAGCCACAGCTGGCCAGGGCGGAGAGCGGGGCGAGCATGGACGAGGCGGCACTACGGGTGAGTACGGCACACAGTGATGTGAGCTGGTTCGTATGTTGCAGGTTCTGAAGCAGGCGCAGCTGGCCAGGGCGGAGAGTGGGGCGAGCATGGACGAGGCGGCTCTCAGGGTGAGTAGAATAGCCATACATAGTGGTGCACAGGAGTTTGAACTTCACAGGTTCTCATGGGTGCATTCGGGGGAGGGTGCATTCGTGGGAGGGTGCGTAGGGGGAGGGTGCATAGGGGGAGGGTGTGTAGGGGGAGGGTGCGTAGGGGATGTTGTGTTCTGAATGAAAGCTGAGACCCACGTTTCAGGTCTCCCGCCACGTCTGCTGAAATGTGCCTCTTTTAATCAATGTGCCCAGCGCTCTCATGCTCCCCTCACGTGTTCCCAATGTGTGCTCCCAATGCGTGCTGTGTTCTCCCCCCCCTCTCTGCCCCTTACGACTGACGTGCGTGTGTGTGTGTGTGTCATGTTTGTGTTGCATGTGTGCATGGCATGTGTGCACGGCTCATGCTGGATTCACCACTGACAATCTCCCATGATGAGCAGAGGTAAGCTCTCCCTTTCTCCTTTCCCTCTTTCCTTTTGCCACCCACGTTCTTCCCCACTTCCAATCGCTCATCACACCATCCGCGCTTTCCTTGAACCTTATGTACTTCCTCTCCCTTCACTTCGCCACCCCTTGCTTTCTCCCTTGCTCCCCATTTCAGATGCTTCCCCCCTCCAGCTGCGCCCACACTGAACTTGACTCTCTTTGTTTGTTACGTCCCACCCTCTGCTGTTGCCTCTGCAGGCACCTTGCGTCCGTTGGCAATGCGGCAGGCATGTCCCAGCAGTCCCTGCAGCTGTCATAGACTTGTCATCTCCTCCTCTTTGTTTGTTACGTCCTGGTACCTTCTTCTGTTGTCTCTACAGGCACCTGGCGACTGTTGGCAATGCGGCAGGCATGTCCCAACAGTCCCTTCAGCAACAGCACTTGCAGCAGCAGCAGCAACAACAGCAGCAGAACCAGCAGCAGCAGCAGCAGCAGCCAGCGCAGTCACAGTCTCAGTCCCAGGGCCTGCCGCAGCTGCCTCTTCAGCAGCTGCAACAGCAGCTGCAACAACTGCAGCAGCAGCAGCACCAGATGCAGGAGCACGAGCAGCAACAACAGCAGCAACAGCAGCAACAGCAGCTGCAGCAGCAGCAACAACAACAGCAGCAGCAACAACAGCAACAGCAGCAAATGATGCCACCTGCAGGCGCTGCATCCCCTAGTGTTAGCCAGGTGATCTCTCCTCCCGCTACCCCTACCTCTCCCTCCATGTTACATCCTTCCGTCTTTTGTTTCACCAGTCTCTTCCCCTTTGCTTGCCCCTCCCTCGCGTCTCCCATACCAAGTAGTCGTACGTGGTATCAGCAGCAGCAGCCAGCCATGCATGCCCTCTGTTATGAGAACTCTTTGTAACCAACTGGTTCGCATGGCTTGCGGCCGCCTGTGCGAGCAGGAGAGCAAAGAGAGCAAGGAGAGCAAGGCGGGCGTGCATGCGGTCATGTCGGAGCACCAAGCGGTTGCTCCGTTCCAAAAATGGACTCCCATTTCTTCGTTCTTGAGGTTCACTTCACCATAACCAGCTCGTTTTGCCCTCTCTGTGCGAGCAGGAGAGCAAGGCGGATGTGCATGGGGTGATGTCGGGGCGGGCGGGCTCGGCCATATCGGATAATGCACTCGCGTCCATGGCACAAGGTGGGTTTCACTCGACTGTCTGATTTGGTTCCCTTCAAGTCAACGTGGTATCTCTGCCCTTCTCTCCCCTTCTTTGCACCGTCATCTTTCTCTCTCTATCTCTCTCATACACGCAGTCTCTCCCCTCTTCCTCTTTTTCCACTCTCCCTGTCTCCCTCTCCCCCATCTTTGTACATTTAACCTTTGCTGCCCTTCGCCCACCCATGATAGAGCGCACGCCAGGCATGTCATCAGCTGCCCCTCTTTCCCTTCCCCCCCTTTCCCCCCCCTTCCCTCTGGTTCTTTGTACACCAGGCATATCGTCGGCTGCGAGGTCGGCTCAGCTGCAGCAAATGAAGGGCAACTGGCCCGCAGGCCTTTCGGTGAGCACCCACCTTCTGATTTGTGAGGCTGAAAGGGTTACTGCGCAGTTGAGTGCGGGAGTGCGCTTCTGCTAGACATTCGCCTGCTGCGGATGAAATGTCACAACCCTGTCTGCAGGGAGTTTCAGTAAGCTCCCTCAGACCTGCCTCCGCCCTCAGGCCTACCTCCTCCCCAAGCGGTCCGTGTATTAGATCCAAGCAAATACAGACATGCAAAGGATAGAGATGCTACTCATACAAATCATCTTCTAACCCACACATCCCACTCACCCCCCTCCCCCTCTGCTCCGTCTAAGGGAGCTCCAGCACCGGCTCTAAGATGGCCAGGCAGTCCCCAAGGGACATGCCCTCGCCTGGCATCTCCGCAGGTGGGTTCTCCACCTGTGCCGCGTAGTTGCATTTCTCCATAAAGCTCACCGACTGAGCACGCTGCAGCGCCACGGACCACCTCTGGCGGAACTGGTGCAGCAGCTTCGTAGCCTGGTAGGATGAGGGGGCCGCGTTGAAGAGCCTGCGGGCGGCGGTCTCGGCTAACAGCTTGAAGAATTGGGGCACTTCCTCGCAAGGGCAGCCGTAGGTGTCAACGGCGAGTGGGAAGAATCCGACCCACGAAGCCGTTGAGCCTTCGTAGTCGGAGATCTTCTTCTCCGCCGCTTCACGGGCTGCCCACCCCCTGCCCTTGACTGCGTTGGGGTCACGGGTGCTGATGGGGTCCGTGATTGTCACGTCCCCAATCCAAACCGCCCCCGAGGACTTGTCCCTGATTGCTATGTCCGCCTTCTTCCTAGTGACGGGGCAGAATGCGGTTGTCTCTCCATGAGTCATGAAGTCCGCGTCGTTGGCCATCCGGAGGCACTCATCCCGCAGCTCATTATGGGTGTTGGTCCTCCCCTTCCCTGTGTCACAGCGCAGAAGGTGGTTGGGCAGCCGTCGGTCTGTGATTGCCGTGTTGTTGCGGCAGTCACAAGCCCCAGGTGCAGAGGAGGGAAGCCCCATTCGGAACTGCAGTGCGTGGGCGAAGTGATCTGGAGCCAGGCGCAGCGACTTGTTAAAGGGGACCGCGTTGAGCCAGTCCCCTGCCCCATACCCCGAGAGGGAGAGCATACGTTGCGTGTGCCCGCTAAGGGGGTTGAGCGGCATGTCGCGCGTGGTTTGGACCTGCTCGGCGTAGCGGCGTCCGTGGACCGCGATTGCCAGCCCGTGCTGCAGCTTGATGCCTTTGGGTTCGGCGCGGTCGCTCTGCAGCAGCTCCTTCCCGTCCTCCGGCAACATCTCCTCGCACCTCTCCAACCAGTCAAACAGCGGGGACGTGTTGAGGTAGGGTCCCGCCATCTGGATCCGTGTTTCTGCCAAGGCGCCGACCGCCGCCTCGTCAATGGAGGTGAGCAAATGCTGCGCCTGCGTGTAGCTCGCCAAGAACCCTACGCGACCCTCCTCCGACGGGTCCGTCAGACCCAAGCCTCCAAGTGAGATCGGGAGTGAGGCTTGGGCCCAGGTCCGTGCTATCTCAGCCTCCCCCCGTGGGTGTCGAATGCCGCAAGCCGTCAACAGTGTGTCAAACAATCCCTTGCCCCAGTCCGACCATTCCTCCACTGGCAAGGGAGAGAGCGGAGTGGTGCGCGCGACATAGGAGACTCGCCGCGAGATGCATCTGGTAAGCAGGAGAGACGCCAGCTGTGGCTCCATTCTCGCAATTAGGCGAAGTGGGGCTCCCATTGTGTTAAGGCTGTCGCGTAGGAACGCTGCAGTTGCGTCGTTTCCGCCGACGAAGCTGCCCAGCACCTTCACGCCGTCATCAATGAAAGGTACGCCCTGCGGCAGGGGTGTTGACTGACGGCCTGCCTGTGACCATGCCGCACACTTAGCGGGGTTGTGTTGTAGCCCAATCTCCCCAAGGCTTCCTGTGAAGTGCCCAAACGCCGCCGCACAAGCCGCTGCTTCTCCAAGAAAAGTGACGTCGTCCGCGTATGCCAGGCATACCACGGACGGGAAGGTAAGTGCCGTGCTTGTCAACGCGGGGTGAATGGCGGCAGCAAACAGCAAGGGGCCGAGGGGATCTCCCTGCCTCACCCCGGTTTCGCTCAAGAGTGGTGGGTGCGAGAATCCGGCATCCAGGCATAGGGAAGAGGGGTGGCCATATGACAGTTTCACGAGTGGCAGTAGCGGAGCTAGCGTCGAACCTCGAAGCGACTCCGCGATGGCCCCTCAGTTAACACTATTGAAAGCGTTCGCCAGGTCGGCCTGCAGAACGAGCGCTCCAGGGTTGACGGTAAGAAAGGTTCGCGTGATGTGGATGATCGCCTCTGCTCCCCCTGGAACCGCTACACCGAATTGATGAGGTAAGAAGAAATCTCGAGCGGCGCCCGCCGTCAAGGTAAGAGCTGTTTTGGCAGCGAGGCGAGTGATGCTTTCGCCGATGGCTATCGGCCTCGTCCCCCCTCCTGGTTTGGTAAGGGCAATCAGGCGAGAGGCGGTGAGGAGTTCGGCTATTGCGAGAGGTAATTTTCCAGTGAGTATGGTGTTGACTAGCGCATGCAGGTGCTTCCCCACTGAAGCGTTGATCAGAGATGCGTCCCGCAGGTGTTCGAATGTTGTTCCTGATGGCCCAGCTCCTACTCCCATCTCACACCGACCCAAAACCTTGGAGAAGACCTCGTAAGGCGCCGAGAGGTGAGGGTCTGGTGTGGGAAATATCCAGTCAGGTGGGGAGGCGGGCGCAGGTGGGTGCTTGGCGCGTAGTGCCTCCAGCACAGCCGGCGATGGCGTGCAAACTGGCGTGGCCTCTAAGGCCATGACGGCCCGTCGCAGGCTGCCACGTCGAGCTAGCCCCTCAGCTCTCGCGATGACCCCAATGTCATCCGGCTGGTGTCTGGGTGGCTGGGGACGGGTCAGTGAGTCCACGGTGTCCTTGTACAGCTCATCCCAGTCCCCACACATGAATTTGCTAAGTCGTGCGCTGACTGCCTTCCAATCTGGACGCCTGGGTGACAGCTGGCGAAGTGTGAGTCGTGCGAGGAACAAGAGGACGACCCAAGCAGAGTGTGAGTCTGGATCGTTCGCCAACCGCAGCAGAGGTACCAGCAGGGCGGTGGCGAAAAGTTTGCGAGGGTCGGGTGGGAGGTGGCGGGAGAGTGGTGCGTGGCGACTGTCGCGCAATTTCGTCAGGTCCCATCTTCCAACCCCAGCGAATAGCACGTCGTCCTTGGCGAGTGTTTCTGGGGATTTTTCCTCTCGCGCGTGGGTTGGGATGGGGTTACCGCCAGGTGCAGATTGTGGGGCGGCTCGGGAATGGGTTGGAGTGTGGGAAATTGGTGGTGGGGGTGGGGGGTTTGCAATGTTGCCCGATGCGGCTCGGGTTGGTGTTGGGGGTCCCCTCCGTGTGGATCTCGCAACTGAGGATCCTCCCGCCCTGTGAGTTGGGGCTGCTCTGGTTGCTCTAGCAGGAGTCTGGGTTTGGGGTTCATCCACAGACTCAGAGCTAGAAGTCGAGTCTGTGTACAACTGCTGCCTGATGATGTCTCCTCATTATCATCTTCCAGCTCGTTTAAAGCCCTCCGTCCCGATTGTTGATACACATTCTCAGGTCCTCCTCCGCTAGCCCGTCGTCCGCGTCCCCGTCCGCCACGTCGACCGCCTGCTGAGCGAGCGACATCCTCCCCGCGCTCCAATGTCTGCTGATGGCGGCCATGGTCGGGAGCGCATCGCGGAGAGCGGTTCTGCTCCCCGTCCGCTCCCCCCCGCGCGTCCCGCTGCGAGCGTGCCCGTTGCTCCGCTGGCATCTGCTGATCAGATACGCCGTCGCTTCGAGGATCTGCGGCGCGATCTGACTCCACGTGGCGGAAATTCCCTGCCGCAGAAGGAGCCTGCCCGCCAGGCGTCCGTCGTGCGCTCCGGCGTAGAGGCTGCGGCGCCCCGGGCACGATCGCCTCGCCGTCGTTCGTCTGAGGCGCGTGACGACAGGCAGGGGAGCCGCCGTGGCGGTCGTCACCTTGAGCCGCGATCGTCACGATCTCCGCGCCTGCATCGTTCGCCGCGATCTCCTCCTGGTCCCCCTCCTCCCTCTCTCCTTCGCCTCTTTACGTCGCCCTAGTTCAGAGGCTCTCTCATGCTCATTTCTCCTCTCCCTCACTCCCGTCCCCCAACCCTCTCATCTCCTCCCACCCAACCTGATTCGCTTCCCCCGCCCTGATGCCCTGATCACTCCCCACCTGATCACTCCCTTCCCTACTTGCTCTCTCTCCACGCACCTAATCCTCTTCCTTTCGCCCCACATGGTCCTCTCTCCCGAACTTCATCCTCTCCCCCTCCTCCTGGTCCCCCTCCTCCCCGCCAACCCTCAGATCGCACGTCTGTTCAACTCGCCCCAGTACCAGATGCTCTCACCCATACAGCAGCAGCACCTGCTGCAGCAGGCCCAGGCACAGGGCCTCATCACCAACGCAGGGGCGCTAGCAAGCTTATCAGCCGCAGGGGGAGGCGCAGGGGGCGCAGCAGGGGGAGGGGCAGGGGCAGGCGGAGCAGGGGGAATGCAAGGGGGAGGGGGAGTGGGAGCTGGGGCGGCGAGCGGTGGGGCGGGCTTGGGCGGCAATCTGCCCGGGCGGGCGGCAGGAGGGACGTCCCTAGTGGGATTCGGGGCGGGTATGGCAACAGAGATGGAAAACCGGCAGCTAAGGCAGTTACTGAGTAAGGGCGTAGCTGGTAACCCTGCTGCTGCAGCTGCGATGGCAGCAGCGGCAGCGGCGGGGGCAGGGGGGAAGGGAGGAGGGGAGGAGGGGGGTGGTTCGCCCAGTGTGGGGTCGCCTGCTGGTATGCTGCCGTCTGGTGCTGCTGCTGCTGTGGCGGCCGCTGCTGCTCTCAGTCGAGGGGCGTCGCCTCAAGAGCAGCAGGAGATGATTCTCAAGGTGAGCAGGGGAGTAGGAGGAGTGGGTGGGTGGGTGGGTGGGTGCATAGAGTTGTTGCCTTAGGAGCAGGAGCTTATGGTTCTCAAAATGAGAGTAGCGAAGATGCAGTTGGTTGGTGCGTGCCCTGGGCTGATATAGTCATACTCCTTTTCACGTGTGTATATCTCTATCTCTTGACAATGCTTCCCTCAGCTGCAAGCCCAGCGAGCGCGGGCCATGGGCGCACAGGGGGCCATGGGAGGGCTGATGGGCGCACAGGGGGCCATGGGAGGGCTGATGGGCGCACAGGGGGCCATGGGAGGGCTGATGGGCGCACAGGGGGCCATGGGAGGGCTGATGGGCGCACAGGGGGCCATGGGAGGGCTGATGGGCGCACAGCAGCTGTCTTGCCCTTACCTGCGCTGACTGACGTGCTCATTTCCTCTCGTGTGTCGCCCTGCTCGCTCTATGTGCTGTTTGTTGTGTGATTGTTTGTTTCCCTCAGCTGCAAGCCCAGCGAGCTCGGGCCATGGGCGCACAGGGCGCCATGGGTGGGCTGATGGGCGCACAGGTGAAGCAGGAGCAGCTGCTGCTGCTGCAGCAACACCAGCAGCTGCTACTGCAGCAGCAGCAGCAGCAACAGCAGCATCAGCAACAGCAGCAGCAACAGCAGCAACAACAGCAGCAGCAGCAGCAGCAGGTGATGGGGGCGCCAGGGCAGCACATGCAGCAGGAGGGGCATCTGGGGGGGATGGGGCGGCAGGGCAGCATAGGCGGACCAGCGAGAGCAGCAGGGCAGCAGCAGCAAGGGCAGGGACAGGGACAGGGACAGGGGCAGGGGCAGGGACAGGGGCAGGGGGGGCAGGGAGGGGCACAGGGCGGGATGCAGGGGCAGCAAGAGCAGCAGCAACAGCAGCAGCAGCAGCAGCAGCAGATGGGTGTGCCTGGTTCTGCTGGTGGTGGTGGTGGTGGTGGTGGTGGTGGGTGGGGGGGAGCTGGAGGTGGGAATGGCGGAAGTGGAGGGGGTGGAGGGGGTGGTGGTGGAGTGGCAGGGGAGCAGAGCTCTCTGAGTGGCATGGAACCCGCACCCAGCATCACCAGCACGGGCACTGTCACCAAGGTAGGCACCTTATTAGGGTTTCATGTCCGGGTATTAAGAATCACAGTTCTTGGTTTAGACTTCATGGTTTCCAGAGTTCAGAGTTCTATCTTCCGGGTGGAATCCGGCTTCAGAGTTCAGATTTCATGTTTTTTTTTTTCAGAGTTCAGATTTCATGTTTTTATTTTCAGAGTTCAGATTTCATGATTTTTTATTTTCAGAGTTCAGAGTTCTGTTGTGGTGCCTTTTTTTTTTTTCCTGGATGGATTGCGCCTCTGGTGCTGCGCGTTGCTTCTTTTCTGCGCGTTCCTTGTTCATTCTCCTTTCCTTACGCTCGTTTGTTGCCTTTATTTCTCCTCGCTTCCTTTCTGCAACTACCTCCTGACAAATGTTCCACTCCGTTTTTATTCCCTGCACTGGCTTTTGTGTGTGTGTGTGCGTGTGTGTGTGTGTGTGTGTGTGTGTGTGTGTGCGTGCGTGCGAGTCTGCGCGTTTGCGTGCACGTGCGTGCGCGTGCGCGTGTGAGCGTGTGTGTGTATGTGTGTATGTGTGTGCGTGTGTGTGTGTGTGCGTGTGTGTGTGTGTGTGTGTTTTCCCCTGCCTCTCTCTGTCTCTCCCTGTGTGGCAAGCAGAGGGGGCAAGGGGGAAGGCTGGGGCGAAAGAGGAAGCAACCGGGATCGTCAGGCCCGGCCACCAGCAACGGCACCCCTGCCACTGCTGCTCTCTTGACGATCTGCCCCTCTCTCCCCTGTCGCTTGTTCCTTTCCTTGTTGCATCCCCTGTGCCATCCAAGCAGAGAGGGCAAGGGGGGAGGCTGGGGCGAAAGAGGAAGCAGCCGGGATCATCAGGCCCTGCCACCAGCAACGGCACCCCTGCCACTGCTGCAGCCGCTGCCACTGCCGCTGCTACCGCCGCTGCCACTGCCACTGCTGCTGCTGCTGCTGGTGGTGGTGGTACTGCTGGTGATGGGACTGCTGCCCCTGCTGGTGACGCTGCCGGTACTTCTGGTGCTGGTGTTGCAGGTGATGGGGGGAAGGCAGCAGGTGCTGGAGGCGCTGTGAAGCCCGAGACTCACCCACAGACACAGGCAGAGCAGCAGCAGCAGCAGCAGCAGCAAGCGACAGCCGAGCAGCAGAAGCAGCAGGAGGAGCAGCACCAACATCAACACCAGCAGCACCAGAACCAGCACCAGCAGCCGAGTCCCCAGCTAGGATCCTCCCTCCCCCAGATGCTACCTCCCCCACTCGTCCCCCCTCTCCCGACCAGCTTCGGCATGGAAGGGACTCTCTCAGGCGAGCCGTCCCCAGGCAATGTGGGGAACGAGCTAGTAGAGCTGGAGCGGTTTGGGGTGGGGGACGATGGGTCGCTGGACGACAATGTGGACTCGTTTCTGTCCACTGACGATGGGGATGGGCGCGAGCCGCTCTTCTGCACCGGCAAGCGCAGCAGCATGGGCAGCATGGACGGCAAAGGTGAGGGGGGGAGGGGGGGGGGGAGGGGATGGGGGAGGTGAAGTAGCAGCGTGGGGAGCATGGACAGGAAAGGTGCGCGGGGGAAGGGGAGAGGGGGAGGGAGGGGGGGTTGGGGGGAGGGGATGTTGGGAAGAGTATGGGTGTCTGGAAGCCAGCTCCACCAAGGTCGCGTGCTGACCGAGTCTGCTTGCAGAAACCATTCTATCCTCCCTCCACTCCTCCCTCCTGCACGCCCTGTTCTGGCCTTCCCTCTTCTCGCAGGCTTCTCCTTCACGGAGTATGGGTGCTCCACCAAGGTCGTGTGCTGCCACTTGCTCAATCCTACTTTCACACCCCCCTATCCCCCTCCACACCGCTCTCCACACCTCCCTCCACTCCCCCTCGCAGGTTTCTCCTTCACGGAGTACGGGTGCCTAAGGGCCAGCTCCACCAAGGTCGTGTGCTGCCACTTCTCGCAGGACGGAAAGCTGCTTGCCAGCGCTGGTCACGACAAGACGGTGAGTGCACAGTGCAGATGAGGACAATCAATGCTTCCAGTGTTGATCCAGTCCGTGCCGTGCCGACTACTTCTCCCAAGACGCACGCGCTGCGTCACAGCAAGGACGCACCATCAGCGGGACGGCAAGCTGTTTGATGATTGAAGTCGGTGAGGAGCAGGCACATCCTGCTAAAAGCTGGTACGCTTTCTCAACAAGCGACTGGCACGTTTCCTTGTGAAGGCTGTGGTCTGCTTTGTTAACGCCGTTGGCTAGTGATAGTATTGTTTTTTTTACGCGTCAAGACAAGGCAGCGAGTGGAGCCCCTCCCCCCCCAACGCCAGGCTGTGCTGTGGGAGATGGATTTGCTCTCCATGCGCGCCACTCTGGATGGAGGGCCACTCGCTGCTCATCACCGACGTGCGCTTCCATCTGAGGCGCCTCAAGAGTCACTCCGCTTTTACCCACATATCCCCTCCCCCCCCGCTCTCCTCCTCCCCTCCCAACACCAGGCTGTGCTGTGGGAGATGGATTCTCTTTCAATGCGCGCCACTCTGGAGGGCCACTCGCTGCTCATCACCGACGTGCGCTTCCATCTGAGGCGCCTCAAGAGTCACTCCGCTTTTACCCACATATCCCCTCCCCCCCCGCTCTCCTCCTCCCCTCCCAACACCAGGCTGTGCTGTGGGAGATGGATTCTCTTTCAATGCGCGCCACTCTGGAGGGCCACTCGCTGCTCATCACCGACGTGCGCTTCAGCCCCACCCTGCCACGTGTCGCCACGTCATCCTTTGACAAGACCGTGCGCGTGTGGGACATTGACAATGTAGGTCGCCTCAATAGGCACCAGGCATTCTTTGGTCCGTGCAGATGGGTAGGGCATGGGCGCCTAGGCAGGGGATGTACTTATGTTCATCTCTTGTGATGCTCATTCCAAAACCCAATTCATGCCTCGTCCACTCCTTCCCTCCGCCCGCTCCCCCCCCCTCTCTACACCGCCGTTGCTGCAGCCCGCCTTCCCTCTGCGCACGCTAGCGGGCCACATGACGTCCGCTGGGCTTCCATCCAGAGGACGAGGACCTGCTGTGCTCATCCCTCGTTCCTCATTCCGCATCCCTCATTCCTCATTCCACATTCCTCATCCCTCATGCGGCATCCCTCTTCCCGTCCTTCCCGCTACAGCCGGCCTTCCCTCTGCGCACGCTAGCGGGTCACATGACGTCCGTGGTCTCGTTGGATTTCCACCCAGAGGACGAGGACCTGTTGTGCTCCTGCGATGCTGACGGGGAGATTCGCTACTGGAGTGTCAACCAGGAGATGTGCACCCGGGTGTTCAAGGTGAGATGTGCGCATGGGGGCTCAAGATGAGCTGGCATACATGCAGAGGAGGTGCAGTGCGGGGCAGTGACATGTCCTCGTGGGGGTGTGCTTGTGACATCGGTGGCTTCGATGGGGAGATGAGATTTGCTACTGGAGTGTCAACCAGGAGATGTGCACACACTGTACACTCTAGCCAGGAGGCCCTCTCCAAATTCTATGTGTTTGTTCGTGGTGAGGATCAGTTCAGGATTGATCCTCACCACGAAGGATACGCTACCCGGGCTACACCCTATTCTCAATAATTTCACACCCTTTAATCTCACACCCTGCGGTACATACCCTCGGTCAAACATTTTCGGAGGGTTGAATTTCTGGATGAGTGTCTTACCTACTTTCGCAAATTGCGGGGAGCAATCAAAAAGTCAAAGGTAACCCAAACCCACCTAAGTGCGAGTTTCAATCTAGAGACTACCTTCCGGTTGTCTATTGATATAGTCCCTCAATCTCTGGGTATCCGTCGTATCAGGCCAAAAAACGTAGAGGGTACGGGGTGTGAAATTATCGAGAATAGGGTGTATTAACTTCTCCTCCCCTTCTCTACCCCTGTCTCTTCCATTCAACCCCATTTCTCTTCACCCCCACCACCAGGGTGCCACCACGCAGGTGCGCTTTCAGCCGTGCATGGGGCGGCCACTGGCAGCAGCAGCAGCAGTCAGTGACTCAGTGTCTCATATGCTTTTCCTCTTCCGCCCCCACCCCAAATCTCTCTTCTCAACAGGGCGCCACCACGCAGGTGCGCTTTCAGCTGCGGATGGGACGGCTGCTGGCAGCAGCAGCAGAATCAGTGGTCTCGATATTCGACGTCGAGACTGAGGCGTGCCTGCGCACACTCGAGGTGAGAAACAAGCCTTTTCTCCGTTTCTTTGGAGCGTACTGAAGTCTGCTGGCAGCAGCGGCGGAGTAGGCGGTCTCGATATCTGACGTGGAGACGGAGGCGTGCCTGTGCACCCTCGAGGTGAGAAGCTCATGCCTCCCTTCTCGTCCCCTTGGCTTGTCACCCTGCTCTCAGCCCCCCTTCCTCTTCCCACCCCCCTCCTCCTCCCTCCCCCCCCACGCCGTCCCCGTCCCCCCCATCTTCCAAGTCCTCACACCCACCCCGCCCTTCTCTTTCCCCTCTTCCCCTCCACTTGCTCCCTGGCTTCCCCTTTCCCGCCTCCCTCCCCCGCGCCCGCCTTCCCCCCTTTCCCCATCCCGTTAACCCCCGTCCCCTCTTCCCCGCATCCCCCTCTCCACCCTCCTCCTTCACCAGCAACGGCACAGCAAGCCAGTCCATTCAGTGTGTTGGGATGCAACGGGCGAGTTCATCGCGTCTGTCTCAGAGGACGCGGTGCGAGTGTACGCGCTGGGGCCGGGCAACGGGGGCGAGTGTGTGCACGAGCTGGTCACCTCACACTGCCTTACTCTCTTCCCTTTTCTCCTCCATTCGCCCTCTGTCTCCCTCCCCGCACCAGCAACGGCACAGCAAGCCGGTCCATTCGGTCTGCTGGGACGCCACAGGCGAGTTCATAGCGTCTGTCTCAGAGGATGCAGTGCGAGTGTATGCGCTGGGGCCGGGCAACGGGGGCCACCTCACACTGCCCGCGGTCTCTACCCCCCCTCCCCCACCACCAGCAACGGCACAGCAAGCCGGTGCATTCGGTCTGCTGGGATGCCACAGGCGAGTTCATCGCATCTGTCTCAGAGGATGCAATGCGAGTGTACGCGTTGGCGCCGGGCAACGGGGGCGAGTGTGTGCACGAGCTGGTTAGCTCACTCACACTGCCTGCCCTACTCTCTTCCCTATTCCAATCCACTTGTCCTCTATCTCCCAAACACACCAGCAACGGCACAGCAAGCCTGTCCACTCGGTCTGCTGGGACGCCACAGGCGAGTTCATAGCATCGGTCTCAGAGGACGCGGTTCGCGTGTACGCATTGGGGCCGGGCAACGGGGGCGAGTGTGTGCATGAGCTGGTCAGCAGCGGCAACAAGTTCCACTCCTGCACCTTCCACCCCAAGTACCCCTCGCTGCTCGTCATCGGCTGCTACCAGGTCAGTGGGTAAGAGGGGGACGTGTGTGTGTCTTTGTCTATGTCTTTACCCCTTTCCCTCTTTCCTTTACAAAAACCCACCTCACCCCCTCCAACAACGCCCCCCTCCCTTTTTTTTCTCTCTCCCCGCCCATTCCAGTCATTGGAATGGTGAAACATGGTGAGAAGGAGAGCTTGATTATGCAAGAGAGAGTCAGCCATTGCTGTATCAACCTTTGACAAGCCCTTCCACCCTTCCCTCCTCAAATCCCCAACCTCCCCCCTGTCCCGCTCCCCTCCACCTCCCCCTCTTGCCAGTCGTTGGAGCTTTGGAACATGGTGGAGAACAAGAGCATGATCGTGCAAGGGGCTCATGACGGGCTTATCGCTGCACTTGCACATTCCCAGGCGCGCGGGCTCGTTGCGTCGGCGAGCCATGACAAATGTGTGAAATTGTGGCAATAGCACTTGCGAGTGCATTTCTAGTTTGGGAATCTCATGCCATATATCATGGCATGAGCAGCATATACCGGAGCTTTTTGCCTGAAATAACATGGAAATGTCTTTAAAATGGGTGATTGCACCATAAATCTTTGTAGGAATGGTGTTACTTCATTTGGCACACTACTAAAACATCTCATAACGACTGCATTGCTTGGAAATGCCTTGTGTAACGCGGTCCAGATGCAAACGCGTATATGGCCTCGGGAATGTCACCTTTGAAACCTCGCCCACTCGCCATCGCGAAATTTCAAGTTCGAGTTTTGGCGGGAAAGTCTGACCTCGAGAACATGTCTGGCTGACCTCGGGAAAGTCTGACCTCGACAACATGCCTGACTGACCTCGGGAAAGTCTGACCTCGGGTTTCAACACATTAATTTCCGCCATTGCCTGGCTGGAGCTGCAAATACCATTACTCAGCGTTTACGACGTAGATTCCAGGCGAGCTTTACTGTAAACTTCTACCTTTGACGGTTTCCTCTTCTCAGTTTCTCTTTCCGGTTTCTCTTCCAGTCATGGATCCGCCTCCCAGTCAGCCGGCTGATTGCTCTGAGTTCAAGCATCCTGCTCCTAAGAAGGCAGGAATTCAAGGTAAAATGTGAACCGTATTCACGTAGGCAACATAGCGATAAGACGAGTCGTTTTTTTTTCCGTCATACTGAAAGGCAAGAGCGTCGTGACACATTCTCGTACGCCATTAACCTGGATCGTTTTGAGACGTCTCAAAATATTACTTTTATCACGTGACATGATATTATCGTACTTTTTTAACCTGGATCGATTCTTGAGGTGACTAAGAATCACGTCTTGTCCCGCTTCTCGTGAACGGTCTCAGGCATGCTTGAATTTTTATCAGCTTTTACACTCAAATCCCAGTATGACGCACAATTGTTACTTTTCGCTTCTCTTAATTCTCTCTTGTTACTTTTCGCTTCTCTTCATTCTCTCTCCCCGTTTCCGTTCTCATTACAGTCCAATCTCGCTTCAAGCAAACTCCCTCGCAGTCGTCAGCCTCCCGTCGCGAAGGTTCCATGATCCCCACTCCCAGTACGAGCCTCTCTTCAATGCACGCGCCATCCACCGCCGCGAAAAGCGCCGTCAGAGGCGGCGCCAGCAGCGTTACAGGCCGACCCTCCGCAACGCCCCGCGCGAACCTCACCCCCGCCGGATCCCGCGCGGGAGCCAGCAGAGGCGGCGGGTCTACCACGGGGCTCGTGAGCGCATGCAGCGCTGGCGGAAGAGGCCCTTCCGGGGCAGGCGGAGCAGCCGGAACGGGCGGAGCGGGTTTCCGCGCGCCATCCAGTGCGGCCAGAGGCAATCCGCAGGCAGCGGGGCATCAATATCAAACTCCCATGGGGAGAGGGATCAAGGGACGTCTGTTCCAGACTCCCATGGCTGGAGGAGGGAGAGGAGGAATGGGTGCTGGCGGGAGAGAGGGGAGAGTGGCGATGGTTGCGGGGGGACGAGGAGACGGAAGGAGTGCAGCAGTAGGGGAGGCGAGGCGAGGAGATGGGGGAGGGGATAGAGCAGGTGGTAAGGGAGGTGGTGGGGAAGGTGGTGGGGAAGTTAGCCGTGAGAATCCAAACTTGTCGCTTGTGCCGTCAGATGAGGCTTTGGAAGGTGGTGAGCTGGCAGCAGGGACGGCCACCGCGTCAGCAATGCTGGATGCTGATGTGGCAGGAACAGCAGGTGGCGAGGATGCGTCGGTTGGAGAGAGGGAAGGGGACGCGCAAGGGGCGGAAGGGCCTACTACCAGCGGAGACAGAAGGGAGGAGGAAGGGGGTACCAGCGGTGTCATGGGGGAGCAGGAAGGAGGGACCAGCGTTGACGGGCGGGGGCTGGAAGCGGCTGCTGTAGCTGGTGGAGTGCTGGGGCTACAACTGGCTCATGTGGCTGGCGAACACGAACAGGCGGAAGGGGTGCAAGCGGAAGGTCAGCAGGCGGAAGAGCTGGCGGAAGGAGAGCATGCAGCAGGGGAGCAGGCGGACGGGGGTGAGAAGGCGGACGGGGAGCAGGCGGAGGGGGAACAGACGGAAAGGGCGAGAGGCTCTGTGAGTAGTGACGATAGTGGTCTTGCTGCGTTGTTGGAAGCAGCGGGAGCAGATGAACCTGCTGGTGCTGAAGGTGGTTTTGCTACTGGTGCTGCTGGTGCTGCTGGTGCTAAAGGTGGTTTTTCTGCTGGTGCTGCTGGTGGTTTTGCTGCTGGTGCAGCTGGTGGTTTTGCTGCTGGTGCTGCTGGTGCTGCTTCCAGTGTGCGAGATGCTACTCGCTGTGGGGATGTTGGTGCTGCTGCCGCTTCATATGCTTCAGCGAGTTTGGATGGTGCGGAATTGGAATGGAGTAACAGCGTTAGCAGTGGCAGGAGCATCAGCAGTGGCAGCAGCAGCAGGCGGGGCAACAACAGCAGCCGTGGAAGCAGCAGCAGGAGCGCGCATAGAGAGAATGAGTCAAGCCAGCCTGCATCAGCACCAGAGACAGCTGGACTCGAACTTAGCAGGACAGAAGGCTCGGCACGGAGCCACACAGGCTCGGCACACAGCAATACAGGCTTGGCACTCAGCACCACAGGCTCGGTGCACAGCCATGGGGATCTGGATCTAGTAGCCTCGGGCTCTGTAGGTTCGGAAAGAAGTGAAAGGGGCGAGAGAGGCGAGAGGGACGAGAGGGACGAGGAGGAGGAGATGGTACCGGCAGTGGCAGCAGTGATGGAGGAGTTGTCTGGGCTAACGTGGTCGGCTCAAGCGGCGATTGTGCGGAATAAGGATTTGCAGGTGCAGGTGATGATGGTGCTGCAGGAGGAAGCAGCGGAGGAGAGAAACCGAGAGAACATGGTGAGTGTGGGAAGGGAGAGGGGAAGGATGGAGGGAAACAGGCAAAGCATGGTCAGTGCAGGATGCAGGTGCATGCGATGCTGGTGCTGCACGAAGAGGCGGCAGAGGAGAGAAACCGACAGAACATGGTGAGTGCGCATCAGCAGCATCTTTCTTGTTCCCACCAGTTCTCATCGCCCCCACTCCCCACTCCCCTCTCCCCTCTCCCCTGTCCCCTCTCCCCCTGCCGCTCCCCACGTCCCTCCCCTCCTCCCCGCACCCCCTAGGCCGCCCTGTCAGCAGCAGCGAGCTACTGCGCGGACCTGCAGCAGGAGCGGTGCGAGCAGCAGGGGCAGCAGCAGCGGATGCAGATCCACGAGCGGGCGCGGCAGCTACTGAGTGAGGAGGGCGTGGGGCCGCTGCTGCAGCAGGAGGATCAGCAGCGCGGCGACCACCAGCTGGCTTTAAGGAGCATCATTCATGCGCTGTCGGACTCGCTGGTGAAACTGCCCATCCACCCCTCCAGCACGGTGAGTAATGAGTTCCTGTGGGGGCATGGGGCCGCTGCTGCAGCAGAAGCATCAGCAGCACCACAGCCACGAGCTGGCTTTAAGGAGCATCATCCATGCGCTGTCTGATTCGCTGGTGAAACTGCCCATCCACCCCTCCAGCACGGTGAGTAATGAGTTCCTGTGGGGGCGTGGGGCCGCTGCTGCAGCAGGAGGAGCAGCAGCGCGGCGGCCACCAGCTGGCGTTGAGGAGCCTCATCCAGGCACTGTCGGACTCGCTTGTGAAGCTGCCCACGGTGAGTAGTCAGTCAGTGATTGTAAGGAAGCACACAGGTGCTGCAGCAGCAGCAGCAGCAGCAGCAGCAGCAGCAGCAGCAGCAGCAGCAGCATCAGCAGCGCGGCGGCAACCAGCTGGCGTTGAGGAGCCTCATCCTGGCACATTCGGTCTCTCTTGTGAAACTGCCCATCCACCCCTCCAGCACGGTGAGTACTCAGCCAGTGATTGTAAGTAAGCACACAGGTGCTGCAGCAGCAGGAGCATCAGCAGCAGCAGCAGCAGCGCGGCGGCCACCAGCTGGCGTTGAGGAGCATCATCCAGGCACTCGGACTCGCTGGTGAAGCTGCCCATCCACCCCTCCAGCACGGTGAGTAGTCAGTGCGAGTGGTGAGTGACCAGGGTTCTTAGCCGCTGCTGCAGCAGGAGCATGAGCAGCACCGGGACCACCAGCTGGCTGGCGCTAAGGAGCATCATCCATACACTGTCTGATTCGCTTGTGAAGCTGCCCATCCACCCCTCCAGCACGGTAAGTAGTCAGTCAGTGATTGTAAGGAAGCACACAGGTGCTGCAGCAGCAGCAGCAGCAGCAGCAGCAGCAGCAGCAGCGCGGCGGCCACGAGCTGGCGTTAAGGAGCATCATCCAGGCACTGTCGGATTCGCTGGTGAAACTGCCCATTCACCCCTCCAGCACGGTGGGTGAATAGTGACTGTGACCCCATAAAGGAAATGCCTGTGCACGCCCATCCACCCCTTCTGCACGATGGATATGCAATGGCCAACTTCACCAGAAATGTTTGCTCATGAAACTCTGTGTTCGATGACCAACCATGTCCCACACCCCATGGTCTATGCTCAATGACCTTTATTTCATGCCCCATATCCTGCACCCCGTACCCCATCTCCCATATACCTATGCCCCTTGCCTCATGTCCCATACTGCATACCCCATATCCCTTGTTGTTGAATGTCCCCCATCACACATCACATCACACATCACACCTCACATCTCACATCACACATCACACATCACACATCACACTTCACACATCACACCTCCCATCTCACATCACGCATCGCACATCGCAGGTGAATGCAGCGCGGCTCAATTAGCAGCTAGACGCCCTGCATGACCTGCTCACGGCCATGCACTGCACTCTCAGGCCCCATATCCCATGTTCCATATGTCATCCCCATGTTCCATATGTCATCCCCATGTTCCATATGTCATCACATCACACATCACAGGTGAATGCAGCACGGCTCAAGAAGCAGCTAGACGCCCTGCACGACCTGCTCACGGCCATGCACTGCACTGTACTCGCAAACCCCATATTCCACGTTTCAATGTCATGCCCCATGTCTCGTCCCCCATGTCCTGTACCCCACATCACAGGTGACTGCGGCACGGCTCAAGGAGCAGCTAGACGGCCTGCACGACCTGCTCACAGCCATGCACTGTAGATGCTGACCCCATACCCCATGTCCATATGTGATGCCCCGTGTCCCATACCCCATGTCCCACACCCCATGTCCCACACCCCATGTCACATACCCCACATCGCAGGTGACTGCGGCACGGCTTAAGGAGCAGCTGGACGGCCTCCACGACTTGCTCACGGCCATGCAGCCATGTGCCGACGACCTCTCCCAGGTACCTGAGCTGTGCACCCAATGCCCATCAGCCACATGAGGCATCCTCTAGCCACTCACGTCACGAGCCACTTAAGGAGCAGCTGGACGGCCTCCACGACCTGCTCACGGCCATGCAGCCCGATGCTGACGGCCTCTCCCAGGTACCGTGCTGTGCATCCTATGCCCATCAGCCACATGAGGCATCCTCTAGCCACTCACATCACGAGCCACTCACGTCACGAGCCACTCACGTCACAAGCAACTCACGTCACGAGCCACTCACATCACGAGCCACTCACATCACAAGCCACTCAAGGAGCAGCTAGACGGGCTGCACGACCTGCTCACGGCCATGCAGCCATGTGCTGACGGCCTCTCCCAGGTACCGTGCTGTGCATCCAATGCCCATAGGCCACATCAACTGCATGGTGCGCATGGGGGACATGGGGCACATGGGGCACATGGGGCACATGGGGCACACGAGGCACAAGAGGCACACGAGGCACAAGAGGCACACGAGGCACACGAGGCACACGAGGCACACGAGGCACTCTTGTTACGAGCCCCGCCTCACCTCTACCAAAGCGGATATGCCCCCACCTGCTGTATGCCCAACCCTGTGCTTTTGCGCTGCCCCTCCTCCCGGCCACGCCATCAGGTTCCCGGGGTGGCATGCCTCGTCTCTTCCATAGCCGACCGTCTCACCTCTACCAAGGAGGAACTCGATGCTGCATGTGGCAACAGCGACCGCCTGGCTGACGCCTCTGTGAGTGGCGCTGCAGTGGGATGGGGTGCTGGTAGAGTGCTGTTTTGAGTCGACTCAACGCTCATTGTGCCTCGTTTCATCAATAGCCGACCGTCTCACCTCTACCAAGGAGGAACTCGATGCTGCATGTGGCAACAGCGACCGCCTTGCTGACGCCTCTGTGAGTGCCTGTCATCTGGGGTGGAGTGCTGTGTGCTGTTTTGAGTCGACTCAACGCTCATTGTGCCTTGTCTCATCCATCGCCGACCGTCTCACCTCTACCAAGGAGGCACTCGATGCTGCATGTGGCAACAGTGACTGCCTGGCTGACGCCGCTGTGAGTGACTGTCACGGTTGAGCATTGGTTGACATTTGAATCGACTTAGAAGTCATCGTGCCAACCGTGACCGCCGTGCAGAGACCTCCGTGAGTGCCTGTCAGCTGGAATTACTGGTAGAGCCGTTGTCAAGCGTTGTTGCCTTGTGAGTACTTCGTGTCAGACAATGGCAGCCTGTGCTTTACAGAGACCAATCAGAAACAGCCTTAGCAGCAGCAGATCGCGCACACCCTTATCTGTACTGCTTCTTGTTGAATCCGCCGCCTGAGCTCATGTTTTTGCCCCCTTTTTACCTTTGTCCCTCGCTTTCGCCCCCGCGCAGTTGAAGGAGCAGACCAAGGCATACCAGCTGCAGCAGCTCGCAGACCACACACGACCTGAGTTGTGATTCCTTACTGTATTGACTCGAGCATGGACGAGTACCACCGCCTTTTTTACATCTCTGATTGTACATATTTCACCACCACAATTTCTTGCTATGTATCACCACCACCTGTACTCAACCTAGTGGATATAATGATGCATTTGCTCATTCTTCATTTTAGAATCTGACATTTCACAAAGGAGCAGACGGGAAGCATGTAGTGTTGTCATTGTATAAAATAATCACATGGAAATGAGTAAATGAGAATGCTATTGAGCTGTGCTGAAGAAAAAGGGTTACAATTCGGGACAGCAGTTACGCGCACCGCACACGTACTGGAACGGACATTTTCCGGTCGGAGTACCCCCTAGTTTGTTTGTTAGAAAACGCACGATTCGTCCTTCCTGGATGTTGGTGTGTGGAAGGAAGTTGGTGTGACAAGGGACCATCGTTGATATCAGCCCGCTGATACTGTAGTTGCATTTCCGCGAATAGTTGGATGCGTCTTCCCAAGTTCGTTAGGCAAGGGGGATTACTGCCAGGTGGACATTTATGCTGAGTCTTGGGGATGCTTGGTCATTCTTGACCGTCGATGAAATCCATTTACTGTAGTTGTCACTAGGCGGTGCCAGTAAGCGCCACGTCAGCGACTGCGAGCACTTGCCATCCATGCGAAACCCGATTCCGTTCGTTACAAGAAAATTGAAATTTATGCTAAGCGCCTATTCCGATCCCGTTTTCTGAGATTATTCCTCCTTTTCGTATCCGCTAAAAGCTGTCGACCATCACTCTCGTCCACTCACGGACTGCAATTGGTGATACTATCGGCGGAAGTTTTTCAGCAGTAGTCCGCCGGCAAGTACACCAACCAACAGGCAGGGAGTATAAGAGGAAGGACCCAGCTTTGAGCATGATTAACTCCCCCAGGGTTTCATATCTCCTTTTTTTCCCTCTTGCCTTTCATGCACCCAAGCAGAGCCTGTGTTGTGCAGTTGTTGATGGAGGAAAGGTCGGGCTCGCCTGCTAGGTTTCGGATAGGGTACGCTCTGGTGCAGAAAAAAATCAACAGCTTTCTTCAGGAGAAGCTAAAGAGAGAGTCTATCAGGAAAGGTATTGAGTTGGTGAAAATAGATCTATCGAAACCGCTAGCAGAGCAAGGACCTTTTGACGCCATTCTTCACAAGATTCCGTCGCAGCAGTGGTATGAGGAGTTGGAGGAGTATCAACTGAGCAGACCAGATGTTCTTGTCATTGACCCACCGGAAGCCATCGCGCGGTTATACAATCGTATTTCCATGCTTCAGGCGGTCGACGACAAGCTACAATACGAGTGTGGATGCATCGTCGGGATCCCTAAACAGATTGTTGTGCATGAGAAGCAGTCAGTCACCGAAAGCTTCGCGACCTCCGGCCTGTCCTTTCCTGTCATCGCGAAACCACTGCTAGTAGACGGAACGCCTAAGTCGCATCTCATGTGGCTTGTGTACAACGAGGAAGGATTGAAGAAGCTCTTACCTCCGTTTGTTCTTCAAAAGTTCGTCAATCACGGCGGTGTGATTTTTAAAGTTTACGTCGTGGGGAATCAAGTGAAGTGTCTCCGACGGAAGTCATTGCCTGGTATAGTGCCACACATAATTGAGTCTGTCGTTTTTTATTTTCCCCAACGTTATTTTGTTTTCTTTAACAAGTGCGTTTTGTCGTTTTTTCCCCTATTTTTCTTTCGAGTACTTATTCTCGTTTGCCGTGCGTTTCCGCAGATCCTCAACCGCAAGACCTTGCGAACCCTGATGGATTAAGATCATTCTGTCAGGTTTCCAATCTCCCCGGTTTGGGAAGGAAAGGAGGAGAGGTAGCTGACGCGAGCCTTTCACATGTGGAGCTACCGCCAGCAGATTTGATGATTTCAATTTCTTCCAGACTGAGAAAGAACCTGGGGCTGAGGTTGTTCAACTTCGATCTGATTCGGGACAGGAACTGCAGCAGACGGTTTTACATCGTCGATATCAACTATTTTCCAGGCTTTGCAAAGATGCCTGGTTACGAGCACGTGATGTCCGATTTTTTTGCAAGCCTGGCCAAGGAGAAGAGAACTCAGACACTAGAGGAGCCTGCCGCTCAGCTTGTTGAGCGAGCAGTATGCTGTTAACGCGAAGGCCAATGCCCGAGACCTGGCAGCAGCGATTATTTTATCTGCTGCCATTATGATACCAGTAAGCCTCTCCCATTGTTGTGCATACTTTCCGTATTCCTTTATGCTCGTGAAATTCATTTAATTTAAATGTTCTGTGTGCAGGGCCAGTAGTTACCATAAAGCTGCTCATGTGGAGCACACACCGGGACTTCTGTATATTCTGGCTCCCTAACTGACCCAGCTGCTGTATGGTAGTTCTATGCATGAAGCTTAGGCTTGTTGTAATGCAAGTGTCTGTATGGTATGGTTTCTCTGAACGTCATATCTGCTCCCTTGTTCTCTGCTCCCTTGTTCTTTCTTCTCGCCTGTATGCCAACTCATGGATGCGTCAGCTCACCTGACTGCGCTTCAACAATGGACCTTATTTCCAGTTCTCTACATTCCACAATTTCAACATACAAATACATTTCAATCGTATCACACTGCCTTACACTCTCAAAATCTGCAATTTATTAGCATAGGCTATGGCAACCCAATCCGACTGCACTGATGACCACTGTAGCTGGTTGATTTCTGCTCCAGCAGTATAAGCCAGAATAGGGTCCAGCCCTCCTTCCACAGGCTGGGCCATGGTGGATAGGTCCCAGATCAGAGCTTGTGAGTCATCTCCTGCTGTGCAGATGTGGCATGAACTGTGTGGTGCCCATGCAATTGCATTCACACAAGCCTGGTGGCGCTGTTGATGTAAAGCCGAGGAGGAGAGAGGGATAAGGAAGAGAAGGACAGGGTGGGAACGAGGGGGACATCGAAGAGAATTTGGAAAGAGGGCTGGTAGTTGGAAAAGGTCAGCATGTGGGGAAGCGATAGCAATGGTATTGCAGGGATAGGGTTGGTGGTAGGTAAAGATATCTGGTAATCATCAGAGGGAGTGATTGTAGAAAGCAAGAGGTAACCAAACAGCAAGAGCGAAAGAGCATGAGTGGGTGGTGGTAGGTCAAGATATCTTACCTGTAGCTCCGCCACTGGCAAGGTGGGGAATTTATATCGAGGATGACGACTTTGGGTGAGTCCATGAGAATGGTTGTCATGTAGCGCGGGTCCTGCTTGTTCCACCCCAGGCGCAGCAGAGGAGTCTCCGGCTGTGGGCTTTCGTAGATGATGGTGCTGTGCTCCTTGTCCCGCAGGTCAAACACCCTCACTGACCCGTCAGCTGCTTGGGACAAAATGAGAGCACACGTGCCGGAAAAAAAAAGCTGAGACACGTACAAAGGCTGGGGGCTCTCCTAACACAGCAAACCTGAGACAAGCTGCATTTTCACCTGAGACAAACAGCATTTTCACCTGAGTCAAACAGCATTTTCACCTGAGACAAACAGCATTTTCACCTGAAACAAGCTCCATTTTCACCTGAGACGGAGGCGAAGAGACCAACTCCCCCCCAGGCGATATCGTAGACCTCCTTGTCGTGAGCGATCAGCTGTGTGTCCACCACCTCCTTCTCCATGTCCCATATGGTGCACGTGGTGTCGATGCTGGTGGGAGGGAGGGGAAGAGAGGAGGTGGGAGGTGGGAGGGGGGGAAGAGACTGGTTGGGCGATGAGCTGAGTGTCCACCACCTCCTTCTCCATGTCCCATATGGTGCACGTGGTGTCGATGCTGTGGAGGAGAGGGGAGAGAGGAGAGAGGAGGAGAGACCAGGTGAACGTGAGCGGTATGAAGCTTTGGCACCAGCAATGAGCTGGGTGTCCACCACCTCCTTCTCCATGTCCCATATGGTGCACGTGGTGTCGATGCTGTGGAGGAGAGGGGAGAGAGGAGAGAGGAGGAGAGACCGGGTGAACGTGAGCGGTATGAAGCTTTGGCACCAGCAATGAGCTGCGTGTCCACCACCTCCTTCTCCATGTCCCATATGGTGCACGTGGTGTCGATGCTGTGGAGGAGAGGGGAGAGAGGAGAGAGGAGGAGAGACCGGGTGAACGTGAGCGGTATGAAGCTTTGGCACCAGCAATGAGCTGCGTGTCCACCACCTCCTTCTCCATGTCCCATATGGTGCACGTGGTGTCGATGCTGTGGAGGAGAGGGGAGAGAGGAGAGAGGAGGAGAGACCAGGTGAACGTGAGCGGTATGAAGCTTTGGCACCAGCAATGAGCTGCGTGTCCACCACCTCCTTCTCCATGTCCCATATGGTGCACGTGGTGTCGATGCTGTGGAGGAGAGGGGAGAGAGGAGAGAGGAGGAGAGACCGGGTGAACGTGAGCGGTATGAAGCTTTGGCACCAGCAATGAGCTGCGTGTCCACCACCTCCTTCTCCATGTCCCATATGGTGCACGTGGTGTCGATGCTGTGGAGGAGAGGGGAGAGAGGAGGAGAGACCAGGTGAACGTGAGCGGTATGAAGCTTTGGCACCAGCAATGAGCTGCGTGTCCACCACCTCCTTCTCCATGTCCCATATGGTGCACGTGGTGTCGATGCTGTGGAGGAGAGGGGAGAGAGGAGAGAGGAGGAGAGACCAGGTGAACGTGAGCGGTATGAAGCTTTGGCACCAGCAATGAGCTGCGTGTCCACCACCTCCTTCTCCATGTCCCATATGGTGCACGTGGTGTCGATGCTGTGGAGGAGAGGGGAGAGAGGAGAGAGGAGGAGAGACCAGGTGAACGTGAGCGGTATGAAGCTTTGGCACCAGCAATGAGCTGCGTGTCCACCACCTCCTTCTCCATGTCCCATATGGTGCACGTGGTGTCGATGCTGTGGAGGAGAGGGGAGAGAGGAGAGAGGAGGAGAGACCGGGTGAACGTGAGCGGTATGAAGCTTTGGCACCAGCAATGAGCTGCGTGTCCACCACCTCCTTCTCCATGTCCCATATGGTGCACGTGGTGTCGATGCTGTGGAGGAGAGGGGAGAGAGGAGAGAGGAGGAGAGACCGGGTGAACGTGAGCGGTATGAAGCTTTGGCACCAGCAATGAGCTGCGTGTCCACCACCTCCTTCTCCATGTCCCATATGGTGCACGTGGTGTCGATGCTGTGGAGGAGAGGGGAGAGAGGAGAGAGGAGGAGAGACCAGGTGAACGTGAGCGGTATGAAGCTTTGGCACCAGCAATGAGCTGCGTGTCCACCACCTCCTTCTCCATGTCCCATATGGTGCACGTGGTGTCGATGCTGTGGAGGAGAGGGGAGAGAGGAGAGAGGAGGAGAGACCAGGTGAACGTGAGCGGTATGAAGCTTTGGCACCAGCAATGAGCTGCGTGTCCACCACCTCCTTCTCCATGTCCCATATGGTGCACGTGGTGTCGATGCTGTGGAGGAGAGGGGAGAGAGGAGAGAGGAGGAGAGACCGGGTGAACGTGAGCGGTATGAAGCTTTGGCACCAGCAATGAGCTGCGTGTCCACCACCTCCTTCTCCATGTCCCATATGGTGCACGTGGTGTCGATGCTGTGGAGGAGAGGGGAGAGAGGAGAGAGGAGGAGAGACCGGGTGAACGTGAGCGGTATGAAGCTTTGGCACCAGCAATGAGCTGCGTGTCCACCACCTCCTTCTCCATGTCCCATATGGTGCACGTGGTGTCGATGCTGTGGAGGAGAGGGGAGAGAGGAGAGAGGAGGAGAGACCGGGTGAACGTGAGCGGTATGAAGCTTTGGCACCAGCAATGAGCTGCGTGTCCACCACCTCCTTCTCCATGTCCCATATGGTGCACGTGGTGTCGATGCTGTGGAGGAGAGGGGAGAGAGGAGAGAGGAGGAGAGACCAGGTGAACATGAGCGGTATGAAGCTTTGGCACCAGCAATGAGCTGCGTGTCCACCACCTCCTTCTCCATGTCCCATATGGTGCACGTGGTGTCGATGCTGTGGAGGAGAGGGGAGAGAGGAGAGAGGAGGAGAGACCAGGTGAACGTGAGCGGTATGAAGCTTTGGCACCAGCAATGAGCTGCGTGTCCACCACCTCCTTCTCCATGTCCCATATTGTGCACGTCGTGTCGATGCTGTGAGGGGGAACAGTGGGGGACATGCCGAGAGAGGGGGCGACGGAAGCATAGGGTGTGGAGAAGATAGTTTGAATCTGAGGTTAAAAAAAAGATGGGCGGCAATGGGCTGGAAATCCCAGCCAGCAATCACCGTACTTGTTTCATTTTCCGTACCTGGACGTCCCGAGCCTCCTTGGTTCGGACTCGTTCCAGTCGAAGGAAGTGAGCGGCGCACAGAACTCGCTGTTCTTATTGTTGTTGAGTACACTGCGCATGCGCACCCCGTCCTCCGTGATCTGATGGGAGAAGAGCAACAGAAGACACAGAGGAGTACATGAGAGTGATGCATAGATGTCAGTCAAGGCAGGCTTGTTGTTGAGCACACTGCGCATGCGCACCCCGTCCTCCGTGATCTGATGTGGGAGGGGGATTGGCACACGCACGAATTGGCAAGCATAAATCCCCCTCCCACACACGCACGGATTGGCAAGCATAAATCCCCCTCCCACACACGCACGGATTGGCAAGCATAAATCCCCCTCCCACATCAGATCACAAGCCAGATGTCGAACACATGCACGGATTGAGCACACTGTCTTGTCTTGGCACACGCACGGATTGGCACAGAATTGACAGCCAGATGTCGAACACACTGCGCATGCCTCCTCGTTTCCCCCCTCCCCCCACCTCCCCCGCTCCCGACCCTCCCCCCACCTCCCCCGCTCCCCCCTTCCCCTGCCCCCCCCCCCCCTCCCCCCCCCACCTGCCAGATCCGCAGGAAGTCCCCGGACGTGGCGAGCAGGTCCGGGCGCTGCCCGTCGCGGTCCGGGACGAACATGAGCTTCGTGGGAGGGTACGGGTGGTCGAACGTCAGGCGCGGGTCGCTCCTCAGCTCGCCTGTGTTGTCGTCTAGCTGGACTATCTCCACCTACAAGAGGGGGAAGGGGAGGGGGGAGGGGGAGGGGGAGAGGGAGGGGGAAGGCGGAGGGGGAGGGGGAGGGGGAGGGGGAAGGGGAAGGGGGGAGGGGGAGGGGGAGGAGGAGGGGGAGGGGAGTAGAGGGAAGGGGAGGGGAGAAACGGAAGGAAATAAAAACTTTCTGGAAGGTCCATGCGAACTTCGTAGAGGAACAAAGATGAAGAAATAATTCCTACCTTATTCAGGTATTAAGTGCAACACTCCCACTATTGAAACTCCCTAGCCGTCCGCCTTACCTTATTCCGGTAATCTTCGATGAAGCTTCCGACGGCGAGACGGAACTTCTTGTCGCGTCGCACGCTCCAGTTCATGCTGTAGACGGGCCATGGCGCCTCGTACGTGTAGATCTCCGCGCGCTTCGCCGGACCGCTGTCCGCGCAAGCATCCATCGCGGCGCGGAGGAGAAAGTGAGGCAGGAAGGAGCGACGAGGACTGATTCTAGCAGCAGCGAGTCGTATGCGGCGGCGAGGACGACTTTTGAGACGACTCAAAAGATTAGTGACGTCTCCAAGGGGCGAGGCGGACTGAATCTGGCAGCAGCGAGTCGGATGTGGCGGCAGGGACGAATACGAAGCAAATGTTTTGAGTCGCCTCAAAACGCGAATGAGCGTGAAACGCGTGTCGAATCGGCTCGCAAGTACCGTAGAAGCTAAGGAGGCGGATATGGGCTAGTACGCGATGGAGGGACCTCTCTCAGACAAGAGAAGTTTAGATTTGAAAGCGAGCAACTCGATTAAAAGCGGAGTTTTTACAGCGGTTGGACGCGGTTGTGAGAGAGGACGGACGGAAATAAAATACAGGGCGAGATGACAAACCACGACGCCAAGTCAAATCGTATCTCGGATAGAGGTCCGAGCCGTGGAAACTGAGTCGAAATGTACAGACTTAAGCGAGAGATACAGGAAAAGAAAGTTACTAATCCCACTGCAAAAATGCTATGGACTATTTACCAAGTCTACTGGGTTTCCCAGCAGAGAGATACTAATATTTATCTTATGAAAACAGAATCAGTTGCTTGAGAAGCACTCCCGCTGTTCTATCTCGCTCTCTCTAACCGCTGATACGTCTGACATTCCTCGGAGTAGTTTCGGACAGCTATGGCCAACAGCTAAGGAAGGGGCCGCAAAATGCGGGAAGCACTGGCGTACAGGAGAAGGGTCAGTCATGCAAGTGCAGGGAGGAGTTGAACCGTACAGTACCGAGCAGTACCTCCGCTCACCTTTCTCGTTCCATCCCATTATTGAGGCCTTCATGAAATTTGTGTATGATATCAGACTGCATAGATATCGCTGTAGATTCCACTGTATCTACATAGCGAAAACAGGTAACTTATCCTCAGACTTTCGTTGTGACAGGTCTCCTCCGCAACCCACCCCACCCTACCCTACCACTGGTGTCTCCCTCATCTCGACAGTGGTCCATGCTAGACAGACTGAACCGTGCACATCCACGCTGGTTCTGTGCGTTTCCCCTTGGTAAAGAAGCTTTTCTACGCGGTACCAAAACGCGGAGTACGGTAATTGCTACTTCCCACAAGCCTTCTTTTGAAGACGAGCCTTTTCGTTGACGGACAGAAACCTTGACGGAGGAGAAACCCAGAGCCCGCCATTCACACCATCCGATCATCTCTAGGGTAAAAGGCCACCTTGTTTGTTTCTCGTAAGACAAAACCTAGATTCTTCTTGTGTGGTTCAGTCCGCGTTTCTCTCATTGATTCGCTTTCTGGCGTTCATAACCTAGCTGGGCTAGGCTGTACAGTTATTACGTTCTACGCCTTTCAACTTCTCGGATCTCGCATTTTCCCGTGCAGTGGCCGCAACACAAACCGACAGCTTGTTTTTCACTCTGTTTTCGTTTTAGTCTTCCCTTCGAGTAATCCCCAAGCGACAGCATGACAGGAAAGGCGAAGCCGAAAAAGCACACGGCGAAGGAGCTCGCCGCGAAGGCCGACGCGGCGACGACCAACCGCGGAGGCGGAAAAGCCGGGCTCGCGGACCGTCTGGGATTGGACAAAGGCGGCCACGCGAAGCTGGCGTGTCCGGTCTGCAAGGCGACGGCGCCGGACATGAAGAGTATGCAGATCCACCACGAGGCTCGGCACCCGAAGCTACCGTTCGACGACGGCAAGCTGATTCATCAGCACGAGGGTGTGGATCTCGACAACAAGGAGAAACCCGGCGTTCGCGGGAGTATCAAGAAGAAATAAATCGGCGACAAGTTGTTCTGTCTTATATCTCGATCATGGCATGGCGTCTTTAGGGTTCTGTTTCTTTGCTCAAGGATGTTTCACTCGACATGTTTTTTTTTTTTATATTCAACGGGTTTGGAACGCTTTTGGAGCGGTCAGTGTACAGCAGCAGCGGGATGGACGGCGTCAGGTGAAAGCCAATGCCGTCCTGAAGGCTTCTCGCAGTCGGGAGTTCAAGCAGCAATCTCGGTGCGGCAGTGAACTAGCAAGACGTCAGGGGATACTGGTTGCTGGTGGCATTGGGTGAAGGTGTGACTGCGGGAAGCAGTCTGTCTGTCGTGTGCCTTCGTCCGTCTGTCGCGACCTCTACGCTTGCAGCTGCCGGGTTCCAGGTGTCTGCTGGAGTTTGCTTCCTTCTGAGTCAACATTTTAACAGATACTCTATCATTGCGGTTGCTAGCACTAGCTTCCTCTCCCTATCACAGAAGCTGCTTGCTTCCACTGTGTGCGAATCTCTTGGCTGGTTTCCAGCTCTGCTGATGTGGTGCTTCAGCTCTTTCTGAGTGGGTACATTTCCGACTTACACCGCAAAAAATGTAGGTGATCAGGGTGAGGGATAGTAGGGTTGAAAATGATTGCTTCTGTTGTGTGGGCTGACTACGCTTGGCTTCTTTGGGTTATTTAGTACCGTATATTAAACTGGAGCTGTTCTGTGCAAAGTAAGGTCCAGATGCATGGCCTGGACTTTGAAATTTTACTAGACAAATGTACCGTACATACTTCATACCGTACTAGCATACTGAATCAACTGCAGCTGGCATCCTGGTTAGTGCGGACAGGAGCATCCAAATCGAGTTACTTCTAAAGTAGCCTTTTGCGTATCATACCGAAACGTCAATTGGTGTCAAGCAGAAGCAGCAAGTACACTGCACTTGCCACAGCTTCGCGCACAGCTACTCTGCATATACCCGGGGTTCTTCTCACACTCCCCGGCCTTGGCCCACGGAACACAATGCTCACTCTCATCCACACACGCACCAGGCGGGTGCGACTGAGAAGAAGACGAACCCCCGCCCTCGCTCCCCACCCCCTCTTCGTCCTCTTCCTCGAAGGATCGCACGTGGATCCACTTGGTGGCGGACCACTTCTCCCCGGCCAGCACGGGGCAGCCCGCATGGAGGGAGGCTAGATCGGGCTCGGCAGACGGCTTGAGAGAGAAGAAGAGCAGCGCATCGCCCTTCACTGGCTTGGCTGCAGGGGGGGAATTGGGGGGAGAGGGGGAAGTGCGGGGTGCGGAAACGGGAGGAAGCGGGATGGGGGAGGCTCAATCTTCCTGCTTGAACCCCCTTTCAAAGCCCCCCACGTGGATCCACTTGGTGGCGGACCACTTCTCCCCGGCCAGCACGGGGCAGCCCGCGTGGAGGGAGGCCAGGTCGGGCTCGGCGGATGGCTTGAGGGAGAAGAAGAGTAGTGCGTCGCCCTTCACTGGCTTGGCTGGGAGAGGGGATGGGGGGGAGGGGAGATAGGGATGGGAAGGGGGGGGAAGCGGGGGGTGGTGGGAAGGCGGACAGCTTCAGGGAGAAGAAGAGCAGCGCATCGCCCTTCACTGGCTTGGCTGGGGGAGGGTGGGGGAGGGGTGGTGGGGAGGTGAGGGGAGGGGAAGGGGGGGGAAGCGGGGGGTGGTGGGAAGGCGGAGGGCTTGAGGGAGAAGAAGAGCAGCGCGTCGCCCTTCACTGGCTTGGCTGGGAGGTGGGAGGAAGGGGGAGAGGGGAGAGGGGGGAGAGGGGGGAGTGGGGGGAGTGGGAAGAATGGGGGGCAAGGAAAGGTGGGAGAACGGGGGGGAGGGGATTGTGAAGGTGAGGAGGGCTTGATGGAGAGTGGGGCACAGCAGTGCCCTTCACTGGCGAGGCAGGAGGAGAAGGTCAATAGAATCATGAGATTCGTGCATGAGGTTGTGTGAGAGAGAGCTCATAACGAAGGTGGCGCTCATCTTCGTGACTCCACCCAAATGACGGCTACGGCGCATCCCCCTCGCGCATAGAGGCGTCACTCGGGTGGAGTCGAGGGAGAAGGGGAGCGAATTCTCTTTTTTTTTTTAACTGACCCGGGGAGGCGGAACATTTTAAGCAAGGGGTGGGGCATGGCGGGTTTCGGTGGAGTTTGGACAACAAAGGGCTTCAGCCTTGAGAAAAAAGGAGAGAGGAGTATGTCACATAGGAAAACCACAGGCCAAAAACGTCCGCTCGCCTGTTCACTTGCCCATTTAGCCCCAACCACACCTCTCTCCTTCCCACCTCCCCACACCCCCACCATCCCCACCCCCAAGTCTCACCCGTCGCCTCACCTGCCACACCCTGCTTGCCGCAGTCAGACCACGTGTCGTCCTTCTCTTGCTTGTCCTTCTGCATGGGTGGGGCATGGCGGGGCATGACATGACAGGATGTGGCATGATATGGCATGACGTGACATGATGTGGGACTATAAATCTGACATGACATGACATGGCATTATACGCACACGCATGCCAAGGCATGACGCACACCCGCGCACACACGCTCACCTCAGAGTCTGGAAACACGGTCTCCCCCCCACGGAACCCATCAGTGAGGTACATGAGCACAGTGGCGTAGCGGTGCCCCCCCTGCTGCTCCCCCTCATCCTTCCTTCATCTCTACCCTCCTTTCCATGCCTCCAAACACACATATACTCTCACCTCAGAGTCTGGAAAGACGGTCTCCCCCCCATGGAACCCATCAGTGAGGTACATGAGCACAGTGGCGTAGCGGTGCCCCCCCTGCTGCTACTTCTCGTCCCTTCCTCTTCCCCCCACCTTTCCACACACACACATGCCCTCCCAACCCCCCCACCCACACACCCCGACACACACACACCCACCTCAGAGTCGGGAAACACGGTCTCCCCCCCGCTGAACCCATCAGTGAGGTACATGAGCACAGTGGCATAGCGGTGCCCCCCCTGCTGCTGCTTCTCGTCCTCCTCGAAGTAGTCGTGATGGGCGTCATACTTCTGCCCCACTGCATACCGCAGCACCTGCATCGACTCCTGGTTCTCTGGGGGATATAAAGGAGGGGGGGGGAAGAATATGGGGAGAAGGGTGAGTGGCATGGATTCTCGTTCAAGTCATACTTCTGCCCCTCTGCATACCGCAGCACCTGCATCGACTCCTGGTTCTCTGGCATGCAGAGGGGGGTACAGGGGGACAGGGATGTGGGGGGGAAGAGTAGCCGTCCATGCCCGCCCCTTATCCTCAACGTAGTCGTGGTGAGCATCATACTTCTGCCCCACGGCATACCGCAGCACCTGCATCGACTCCTGGTTCTCTGGCATGCAGAGGGGGGTACAGGGGGACAGGGATGTGGGAGGGAAGAGTAGCCGTCAATGCCCGCCCCTTATCCTCAACGTAGTCGTGGTGAGCATCATACTTCTGCCCCACGGCATACCGCAGCACCTGCATCGACTCCTGGTTCTCTGGCATGCAGAGGGGGGTACAGGGGGACAGGGATGTGGGGGGGAAGAGTAGCCGTCAATGCCCGCCCCTTATCCTCAACGTAGTCGTGGTGAGCATCATACTTCTGCCCCACGGCATACCGCAGCACCTGCATCGACTCCTGGTTCTCTGGCATGCAGAGGGGGGTACAGGGGGACAGGGATGTGGGGGGGAAGAGTAGCCGTCAATGCCCGCCCCTTATCCTCAACGTAGTCGTGGTGAGCATCATACTTCTGCCCCACGGCATACCGCAGCACCTGCATCGACTCCTGGTTCTCTGGCATGCAGAGGGGGGTACAGGGGGACAGGGATGTGGGGGGGAAGAGTAGCCGTCAATGCCCGCCCCTTATCCTCAACGTAGTCGTGGTGAGCATCATACTTCTGCCCCACGGCATACCGCAGCACCTGCATCGACTCCTGGTTCTCTGGCATGCAGAGGGGGGTACAGGGGGACAGGGATGTGGGGGGGAAGAGTAGCCGCCAATGCCCGCCCCTTATCCTCGAAGTAGTCATGGTGGGCGTCATACTTCTGCCCCACGGCATACCGCAGCACCTGCATCGACTCCTGGTTCTCTGGCATGCAGAGGGGGGTACAGGGGGACAGGGATGTGGGGGGGAAGAGTAGCCGTCAATGGCCGCCCCTTATCCTCAACGTAGTCGTGGTGAGCATCATACTTCTGCCCCACGGCATACCGCAGCACCTGCATCGACTCCTGGTTCTCTGGCATGCAGAGGGGGGTACAGGGGGACAGGGATGTGGGGGGGAAGAGTAGCCGTCAATGCCCGCCCCTTATCCTCAACGTAGTCGTGGTGAGCATCATACTTCTGCCCCACGGCATACCGCAGCACCTGCATCGACTCCTGGTTCTCTGGCATGCAGAGGGGGGTACAGGGGGACAGGGATGTGGGGGGGAAGAGTAGCCGTCAATGCCCGCCCCTTATCCTCAACGTAGTCGTGGTGAGCATCATACTTCTGCCCCACGGCATACCGCAGCACCTGCATCGACTCCTGGTTCTCTGGCATGCAGAGGGGGGTACAGGGGGACAGGGATGTGGGGGGGAAGAGTAGCCGCCAATGCCCGCCCCTTATCCTCGAAGTAGTCATGGTGGGCGTCATACTTCTGCCCCACTGCATACCGCAGCACCTGCAAGTGCAAGGTGATTGGGAAGGGGCGTAGGGTATTGGAGAGGTAGGGATGACGTACAGAGGTATTCAGGGGCGCACATGCACGCGGGAACACAGGCTGACACAAAAGTCGTCTCATCTCACGCAGATAGAAGCACATATGCACGCGGGGACACAGGCGTACAGGCTGTTCAGGAATGACTTGGTTGTTGAGTCGACTCAAAGTCGTCTCATCTCACGCAGATAGAAGCGCACATGCAGGCGGGAACACAGGCGGACAGGCTTTTCAAGAGGCTTCGAAGATATCTGGCCTACCAGAGGGGTGGCGGGCGCACCAAGGGGGGGAGGCGGGCGGGGGCACGGGGGAGGAAGGTCTGCGGGGGCACGGGGGGGGTGGAGGGAGGCGGACTTACCAGGGGGGAGGAAGGTCCAGGTAGCAAGGCGGTCTTCAATGCGCCTGATGACGTCATCCTGGGGTAGGGGCATGGAAAGGGGCATGGGTAGGGGCATGGGAAGGGGCATGCGGATGGTTCTGAGTAGACATGTGCATTGTAAATCGAGCTGCACGTTACAGGGTATCATACAGAGCAGGGGTAGCACGCAGAGCACAGAGGTTCAAGGTGCAGGAGCATTGTGTGCTGGATCCGGTACAGGGTCACACACAGAGACCTACCCTGCCAGGACGATGAGCATTGTGTGCTGAATCCGTTGCTGCCTACCTGCCAGCCAGCCAGCACTGTCGACTACTCCATCCACCGTTGGCCACTACTCTGTGGGTGAGGAGAGACTCTTGAGGCGACTCAAAGTTCACAGAGCAACTAACCTGGGCTATATTGAGAAATGTCCCGAGCTGGATCTATAGTCGTCAACCATGCTGGAGCCGTTATCAGCCAGCACTGTTGACCGCTGCATACATTGTGGGCCCCACCCACCTAGGGAGGACTCTCTGGCTTTACTCAACGTTCACAGAGCAACAGACCTGGGCAATATCCAAAACAGTGCCGTTAACAACACTGGAGCTAGACCTGTAGTCATCAACAACACTGGAGCCGTTATCAGCCAGCACTGTTGACCGCTGCAACTTGGGCCGCGCCTAGTGGGCGAGAGAGAAGGGCGGAGACTCTTGACTCGACTCCAAGGTAACACTTGCAACAAACCTGGCCAATATCGAGGAAGCAACCAGAGCTGGACCTGTAGTCGTCGACAACACTGGAGCCGTTATCAGCCAGCACTGTTGCCCGCTGCATCTATCTTGGGCCGCACCTAGAAAGGAGACTCTTCTCTAGACTCAAATGTAAGGCAACATGGGTAACAAACCTGAGCAATATCGAGGAAGCAACCAGAGCTGGACCTGTAGTCGTCGACAACACTGGAGCCATTATCAGCCAACACTGTCGACCGCTCCATTTTGGGGCGCGCCTAGCGGGCGAGAGACGAGGAAAGAGAGCGGGAGGGGGAGAGGAGGAGGGGAGAAAAGGGTGGGAGAGAAGGGGAGAGAAGGGAGGGAGAAAGAAACGAGTGGGAGGAGGAGGAAGGTTAAGAAGGGAACTGACCTGGGCAGTTTCCAGGAAAGTTCCGTAGCTGGTGCGAATTGTGTCTATTTCGACGGTCCCATTGTCTGCCACCACTTCCGACCGAGTCATGTTGGGCCGCGCCTGGGGTAATGCCGGTGGGGGAGAGGGGGTGTGTGGGAGGGGAGGGATGAGGGAGTGTGGCAATGGGGCAGTGCAGGAAAATGGTTTCTATCTCGGCAGTGCCATTGTCTGCCACCACTTCCGACCGAGTCATGTTGGGACGTGCCTGGGGTAAAGTTGGAAGGGGGGGGGGGGGGGACGCACTGGAGGGATGGGGGGGAGTGCGGCAATGGGGCAGTGCAGGGAAACAATGTCTATCTCGGCAGTCCCATTGTCTGCCACCACTTCCGATCGAGTCATGTTGGGACGCGCCTGGGGCATCGGGGAACGGAAATGTGGAGGCACAGGGGAATGCCGGAATGGGAACGTTGGGGGTACAGGGATAATGCAATCGAGCAGTGGGGCAGTGAGGAGGACAGCCCAGTGTAGTGATTGGTGTCAATCCCTGTGGTGTCATTGTCTGCCATTTTCTGTGGTACCAAATTATGATAAGACGCACCTGGGGTAATGTGGGAACGGGGACGTGGGGGCGTGGGCCAACACGGGGATGAGAATGTTGGGGTACGGGCCAACACCATGGGACAACGGAGCACAGGAGAATAGCTCTAAGGAGTATAGCCCCGAGGGAGAATAGCCTCGAGGGGAGAATAGCCCCGAGGGGGAATAGCCCTGAGGGGAGAATAGCCCCGAGGGGGAATAGCCCTGAGGGGAGAATAGCCCCGAGGGGAGAATAGCCCCGAGGGAGAAAGTCAGTGTGCATGTGTGCATGCATGCGTACCAACTCAGTTACACGGTCGCACCACTCATGTGTGCCAGCACACATGCCAGCACACATGCCAGCACACATGCCAGCTCAGCAATGTGCGTGCACGCGTATCATGTCAACAGGTGCCAGCATGCCTACATACCAGTTCAATGATGTGATCGCACTCCTCGTGGGTCAGGAACTGCTTGTATGCGTCAAGGGTCTAGTGGTCGAAAGAGACGGAAACCTTTGAGTTGGGTCAAGGCTATACTTTCCATGTGTGCATGCACGCGTACCACGTCAACAATGTGTGAGGGTGCCAACGTACCAGTTCAATGATGTGATCGCACTCCTCGTGGGTCAGAAAGTTCTTGTAGATCCACGCACTATGGGGTGGAGAGAGGGCGGCCTTTGAGTTGAGTCAAGGTTACATCATGTGTGCATGCATCAATGTGTGCAGGCATACATACCAGCTCAATGATGTGATCGCACTCCGCGTGGGTCAGGAAGTTCTTGTAGATCCACGCTCTAGGGGGTGGAGAGAGGGGGGGCGCGCCAGAGAGGGAGAGGGGGAGACAGGGGAAGAGCGGGCAAACAAGGCTTGATGCGGATGCAATTTGTGGAACTGGGGATTAAGGGATGGAAAGCGTGGTGTTGCGAGTGAGTGGGTGAGGAGAGTGAGTGGGTGAGGAGAGTGAGTGGGCGAGGAGAGTGAGTGGGCGTGGCGACTGGGCGGGGAGAGTGGGCGTGGCGAGAGGGCGTGGGGATGTGGGAACGGGTGCGGACGGTTGCACTGGTAAATCTAGACTTAAGGTGTCTCCACGTAATGACGTCTCATTTTGAGGCATCTCGAAGCATTGATGTCTACATTTGAGACGTCTCAAAGAGATTTGAGAAACAGACAGATTGATACGTTGCTTATGTCAGTTGGCAGCGGATGACGCAAGGCGGAGCCACGTCATCGTGACCACATGCTTGTCCACGTCAGCATGTACTCCACCTCACCTTGGTTTCCACGATAGCCGGACGATGCGAGGCTCGTTCAACCCAGGTTCAGGTTCAGCTGCTGCTGCCTTGGGATTGGGGGTGGATCGATAGCTGGGGGAGGGGAGGGGGAGCACAGGGGGGTGGCATGAGGAAAATGGGTGCATGAGGAGGAGAGGGTTAAGAATGGGTGGTTGAACGAGAAATGAATAATGGTGTACGGATGACTATTCAGCAGACGAAACGCGAACTGGTAACTGCGCAAGGATGCGGACGAGGGTAACTGACAACAAGTGGGCTGCTTACGTGTCGCCAAGCCAGCCTGGAAGAGCGTCGGCTTCAAACCCCGAAGCGGGTTCCGCTAGCAACATCAAAAGCGCCAGCGCGAGCGGCGCTAGCAGGAGCAGAGCCGGCCTGGATGGTGCACGGACGGACATTACACCCACTCGACGCCATGAATCCATTATTAAGTTTCCGAATAGAGGCAGATTCATAAGGGTGTGAGCGACGAATTGGTGGTACTTGTTCTGGTGGTGGTCGACGGCGATCAGAGACGGAGTGAGAGATAGTACGGCAAGAGAACTGAGCCAGACACGAGGGACACAAGCCAAGAGAAACGAGGGATTCGGTCCGATAAAAACTGACACCCCAGCAAAAGAAGGATTCTGCTATTGCTGCTCTGGGATGAAGAGCAGCAGGCAGAGAGATGTGGGATGGGATGCGATGGCGCGAAATCCGGCAATCCCGAAGTCACTGAAACTCTAGGAAGAAAAACGACTAGGAGAAATGAAAATGAGCAGCCATTGAGATTTTCATGCATCCCGGGGCAAAGGAAATGGAATCCCAAGGTGGTTACCTGGCAGGAGGGGTGTCTGATGACCAGGCTCCCCTGCCGGATGCGACGAACACAAACTGTGACGAAATCTCCTCGCAAGTCAAAATTTGTGGGCAGAGATGCTTTCGCAAAACCGAACGAATGTTCATCGTTTCGCAAAACACAATGTCCACCACATTTTGTCCCTCCCCAGACTTCGCTTCTCGGTAGTTTTCACTCCACAACTCATCCCACCCCTCCAAGCCAATTTTCCCACACTTCTGGCTCCTCTCCTCACAGAATTCCTTCTGGTCAGAACCAACCTTGGTGTTGTCATGTCGCCTCACCCATTCCGTTCCCACCAAGCACAGACATCTCTAGAATCAGCTTCAGACCTGGTCCTTCTTCCTAGAACAAGGAAGCGACTACAGCATAGCACGGTTGATAGAGAAGCGGCGAGACTGTCTGTTTTGGCGATTGTCCCGGGTCTGTCAGCTTGTGTGTGTGCCTTGCAGTGACAGAGACTTACTTATTGGGTTCAGGACCAGCGGCGACGGTTTGCCGTGATGGCCTCCGTCGCTAGTTTACGACAAGCCCTTGTGATTATGACGAGCTTTCTTATTGCGAATGCCGTTTCCGGACACTCTATCGAAGCAACTGACAATCAGTCTGGCATGACGTATGTTCCAGGCCGCAGTCTCATAATTCATCGCAATTTTAGCGCTACGTATACTCCGTCCTTCTGACCTATCCACGTGTCTCTATTCTGCGTAAACGCTGGTCGTACGTGTGCTGCAGCGATGCTGATGTGGACATTCCCCCGTTAGAAGAACCCCCTGTTCACATTCCTGACGTCAGCAAGGTTCAACGGCTTTCCTGGAAGCCTAGGTAGTGCCTCGCGAAACTCGCAACGTTACTTTCGCTCAATTTGTAGCGAAATCTGTCATTCGCAATCATGTGGTTACGTGATGTGTACGAGCATTGGTCAAGATGATGCTGACGTGTCATGCTGTAATGGTGTATCCTCTTTTCATTCTTCCAGGGCGTTCCTGTTCCCCCAATTCTTGTCCGAGGCGGAATGTGACTACATTGTCAACTATGTGAGTCTCAATAATCTCACACGCACCTGTTGTAATTTATCATTCCCGTCATTCCAATTATTCCCATCATTTCATGTTCACCCCCCCCTCCTCTCACAACCCTCCACATCTCCCCATCCCCCATCACCCCCCTTTATAGTCACGTCCGCGGATGGAGCGGTCTACAGTGCTAAGCAACAGCGGGAAGAGCGTGCGGGACAGCATACGCACCAGCGATGGCTCCTTCATTGTTAAGTACGAGGTATGACACCAGCAACTCTAGACGTGTGTTGGAGCATCTCAAACGAAGAATACCATATCGAATATTTCGAATCGAGTGTTTCAGATTCAGTGCGCTCTAATACCTTGTGATGCCTGCGCCTAATTGTCGTTCCTAGAACCATGCACTCCACCACGACTCTTGCTTCAACCCTGTCTCCACCCCACCTCCACTCCACCCCACTTCCAACCCACCTCCACCCCAACCTCGCCCTACCCCCATCTCATCTTTCCTCCATGTCCCCGGTGTGCCAGAATGCAGTCATTCAGCGCATTGAAGAGCGCGTGGCTGCTTGGACCTTCCTCCCCATCGGTAAGCCCTTCCTTCCTGCCCGCACACTTATAAACTGATCACCTCCACATAAATTAGCCACCTCTTGAGAATTCCCAAAGACCGGCTTGTCCCGCCCTCATTCCTCCCTCGCTCCCTCCCTCCCTCCCTCCTTCCCTCGCTCTCTCCGTCCCTCCCTCACTCCCTCCCTCCCTCCCTCCCTTCCTCCCTCCCTCCCTCCCTCCCTCCCTCCCTCCCTCCCTCCCTCCCTCCCTCCCTCCCTCCCTCCCTCCCTCCCTCCCTCCCTCCCTCCCTCCCTCCCTCCGTCCCTCCGTCCCTCCCTCCCTCCCTCCCTCCCTCCCTCCCTTCCTCCTTCCCTCCGTGCTTGTGGGTTTCCTCCTTCTACACACACAGAGAACCAGGAGGCGATGCAAGTGCTGAGGTACAGGGACGGGCAGGAGTACGGGGCACACTGGGACTACATCGATCCCACCAGGGCAGCTGCCTCCCCTTCTCTGTGGGTTCCCTCCTTCTACTCCCGCACTCAGAGAACCAGGAGGCAATGCAAGTGCTGAGGTATGGGCAGGAGTGCGGAGCTCGCTGGGGGGGACTACATCGATCCCACCAAGGCATCTGCCTCCCACGTAGTTGGACTAAGCCACCTCCTGGTCCCTAACCCTTTCCCTGTGGGTCTTCCCCTTCCACCCCACACCACGCACAGAGAACCAGGAGGCGATGCAAGTGCTGCGGTACAGGGACGGGCAGGAGTACGGGGCGTACTGGGACTACATCGATTTCATCATAGCACCTGCCTCCTTCTCTCTGTTGGTTACCCCCTTACCACACACTACGCACAGAGAACCAGGAGGCGATGCAAGTGCTGAGGTACAGGGACGGGCAGGAGTACGGGGCTCACTGGGACTACATCGATCCTGCCAAGGCACCCACCCCGGGGGGCCCTCGCTACGCCACAGTGCTCATGTACCTCTCGAATGTGGAGATGGGCGGCGAGACTGCCTTCCCTGAGTCCGAGGTATGAAGGGGCAGACAGAAGGGGGGTGGGGGGGAAGGGGGTAATACTAATTATGTGTATGGGTGGGTATGAGAAGCAGGCAGCCATCCCAGCTGGGTTAAGAAAGGAAAATGCGGTTTTCGAGGTTAAAGGGTGTGGAAAGGGGCTACTTGTATGTGCTCGCTTCTACTGAGTGACATATGAGTGAAGCTAACAGCTGCATTGTTCTTTCCATCTCCCCTTCATTGTGTGTGCTTCCCACTGCTGCTGCTGGGTGCTTGTACAGGAGGACACTGTAGTGAAGGATGACTCGTGGAGTGACTGTGGGAAGAAGGGCATTGCTGGTACGTACATGCACCCCTAGATACACCTGTATACATTTCTGCACACATCTATACAGCTCTACACACCTCGATACAGCTCTCTCGATGCGTGCCTCAGATGTTTCCATTTCAACCACCCGCACCCCCTTTTCCTCCACCCTCCAATTCCCTCAACCCCCCCTTAACGCCCCCACCTCAAACCCCCCCCCCCACCTCAAACCCCCATCCCTGTCTCCAGCCAAACCAAGGAAGGGCGATGCGTTGCTCTTCTTCTCGCTCCACCCCAACACTTCCTTCGATCGCGCCTCCCTCCACGCGGGCTGCCCCGTGCTGGCCGGGGAGAAGTGGTCCGCCACCAAGTGGATCCACGTGGGGTCTGATTCTTCCTCCCTCCCCGCTTCTTCCGCCTATCCTCCGTCCTCTTCTCCTGTCTGCAGCGAAGCCAAGAAAGGGAGATGCACTCCTTTTCTTCTCCCTGCACCCCAACACCTCCTTCGATCGATCCTCCCTCCATGCGGGCTGCCCCGTGCTGGCCGGGGAGAAGTGGTCCGCCACCAAGTGGATCCACGTGGGGGCCTTCGACCTGCCGCCCCGCGACCCGTCTTTGTGTGCGGACGACAACGAGAATTGCCAGCACTGGGCGAGCATTGGGGAGTGCGAGCGGAACAAGGCGTACATGGTTGGAGGGGGGGGGGCAGGGCCGGAGAGCCTTGGTTATTGCAGGAAGAGCTGTGGGGTGTGCACGTAGGGAGTGTGTGTGTAGCATCAGCAGCAGCAGCAGCAACAGCTGCCAGCACTGGGCGAGTGTGGGGGATTTCGAGCGGAACAAGGCGTATCTGGTGGGAGCAGGGCCGCGGATTATTTTGCAGGATGAGCTGCGGGGTGTGCGTGTGCGTGTAGGGGGCGTTTGATCCCAGTGTGTGCAGGCGATACCAAGATTCCTGGAAGATAAGTGGCAAGACTGAACACTTGGAAACACTGTTCATTGAAAAGGTTAACAGAAGGCTTCCTCTCTGCTCTTCTTTTACTTCTCTGCTCACTGTGAACTGCACTGCAGTCACACTACCACACTGCCATTTTGTTTCAACCATCATACCATCCACTATAACCACCACAACATACCACATTCATATATCCACATCATCCACCTATAATCACAATCAACATCTATAATCATGAGGACATGTGCCGGAGTACCCAGTCAGGCCACTGGTCTCTGCCTCCCTCCCTCTCGCCTTGGTCAGTGACACCCTTGGTACATCTATAATCACTCACCCTTCTTTAATCACGAAGACATGTGCCGGAGCACCCAGTCAGGCCACTGGTCTCTCCCCCCTTCCCTCCCGCCCTCACCCCCCTCCCCTGCTTGCTGCTGCATCATCATTCCATACCCGCCGCCCTCTTGATAAGCCTCATTCACGTGCTGAGCTGGCGTTGTGTCAGCAGGCTGAGTTGGCATCATGTCAGCAAGCTGACCTGGCATGGTGTCAGCAAGCTGACCTGGCATCCCCCATAGCATCGTTCCCTCTACCAGGTTAGTCATCTTCTCATCTGTCTCCCCCAGGCCCCCTGCTGCTCCTGCACCCTGGAAGTTTCTAGGATCCCTGCCATGGTGTGACGTGGCATGCTGGTGGTAACCTGCCATCATGCCATGGTGTGACGTGGCAGCATCACAATCTGACGTGGCAGTATCATGCCCAGTGGAATGTACACGTGGCAGTCGCACATGCCCTGCAGCAGACGGGGCCGGGCGTATATACGCAGACCACTCATACGGACCATTATGAGCGGTGGTGTGCGGTGCAGTGAGGTTCTGCCCGCCTGGAAAAGTAGTCAGGTCAGTAGCGGGTAGGATGCTGAGAGAAGGAGGAGGGGCAGGATCAGTCAAAGTGGTAGCGGTGGCAGGTCTGCTACTGTCCCCCATTCCCATATTACTTTGCTCCATCCTGCCAACCTCCTGTGGTTGCATCCCCCTAACTCCACCGTGACTGGGTGGTGGCGGCGGTGCCATGTCAGCTGCTGCCAGCTCAGCAGCACGCATGGCCAGGTCAGCGTCTTCCGCGGCCCAGTCCGCAACCAGCAGGCTGATGACGTCATCCTCTGACACACCGAGCAAAGCAGAGGGAGGAACGGGGGAGGTGTGATCTCCTCCCATCACCCCCGCTATCATCACACCTTCCTCTGCAACCCTGGCTCGCCCTTGCTTCCCCCCGTCGCTTCCCCCTCGCTCCTGCCACTGCCCCACACTCACACCCCCTTCCAGCTTTCCCCTCTCTTCCATTGTGCTCCTTCTCCCACCCTCCGCCTCCGCCTCCTCCTCCCTTCTCGCACCCCTCTCACTGGCCTCCTCCCTCCCACCACCCTCCTCCTTCTCACCACCCTCCTTCTCACCAGCTTCTCGCGTATCCCTTGCAGCAGCAGCTGTGGATACGGGTGCTGACGTGGCAGCGGCGGATTGAGATGCTGACGTGGCAGCAGCAGCGGAGGAGGGCGATGAGATGGGAGGGGGGCCGCAGGAGCCGACAGCTGGCGAGCCAATAGCAGACAAGCTGGGTTTAGGCGAACCAATGGGAGGAAAGTGAGTGAACAAAGCGTGACCATACGGAGTGTGATTATGCAGAGTGTGATTCTGCGGAGTGTGATCGGATGAGGGATGAGTGGAGGCGAGGGGGAGGGAGGGGAGGAGAGGAGGGGGGGCTCGGAAGGAGGAGGAGGGGCGGGAGAGAGGGTAGAGAGGGGTGCGGGTCTGCTGGTGCCAGAGCTGTGATGTGAAGGGAGTGAGGGAGGGAGTGAGGGAGGGAGTGAGGGAGGGGATGAGGGAAGGAGTAGGGGTGTGTGAGCCCTGGTGGATGGAGTGGCTGTGGGAGAAGCGAGTGTGCGTGGAGGGCGAGGATGTGTGAGAGAGTGAGTGAGAAAAGGACCTCCGTAATGATGGGAGCTGCTGCTGCTGCTGTTGGTGCTGCTTCTGCTGCTGCTGCTGTTGTTGGTGCTGCTTCTGCTGCTGCTGTTGGTGCTGCTGCTGCTGCTGCTGCTGCTGCTGCTGCTGGTGTTGCTGCTGCTGCATAGCCTGTGCGTCTGCTGCTGCTGTTGCAGCTGCTGCTGCCCCTGATTTTCCTGTCACTCCCAGTTGAATCGCCCCCCCTGCCTCTCCTTGCCCCTGTGCCTGTCGCTCCATCTGCATCTGCAAGTGTTGCCGCCACAGCATTTGCTGCATGGGATGATGGGCCTCTGCTACAAGATTATGACTCCCTGCTGCGAGTCCCGCGGGATTCGGAGGAGTCATATTTGACCCTGCAGAGCCACACTCCCTCTCACTCCTTACTGCATTCCCCGAACCTGCAGCTCTGTGCTCCAACCCTCCTGCATTCCCCGAGCCTCCGGCATTCCCCGAGCCTGTTGCGTTTCCCAAGCCTGCTGCATTCACCAGATTTGCTGATCTTTCCAGATTTCGGTGTGTGACCGGTCCACCCGCCATGCCTGCTGCTGGGTCCCACACCGAACCTCTCCGAGCCGTTCGGACATCAGGCTCGGCAACACCGAACCTACTCACAGGCCACCTACCATCTACCATGCTTGTATAATTGATCGGGAACTCATGCTGCGATAGGTTTAGGGATTGAGATGCTCCTGTGGTGCTATAAGGTGTGAGGATGGTTGGGAGAATGTGATTATAAGGAGGGAAAGTGGGAACGGTGGAGGTTGTAAGGCTGCTCAGGGCTGTGCTGCTTTTGGAAGCAGAGGCGGGAGCTGACGAGGCAGGAGCTGACGTGGCAGGCGATGACATGGCATGCGGTGACAATGCAGGGGCTGGCGTGGCAGGTGCGGACGTGGGATGCGATCGGGAGTGTGAGAGAGCTGAGGGGGAGCGAGGGCTGTGGAAGTGGAGAGAGGGGGGGAAGAGAGAGGGGGGGAGGAGTGAGGGAGGGAGGAGGGATGGGGAGGCGGGAGCAGGTGGGGCAGTGACGGCAGGAGTGACAGAGGGGTGAGGCAGTAGAGAGGGACCCTGCTGCCCCTGCTGCACCCCCTGCTGCCCTTGCTTCCCCCCTTGCTGCTGCCCCTGCTGCGCCTGCTGCTGCGCCGTGTGGCTGAGATGGGCGGTTTGAAGGAGACGGTGTGCTTCTTCTTGCCTCAACCACGTTGACTGAGCCAACTGCTGCTCCTGCTGCTGTTGCTGTTGCTGCTGTTGCTGTTGCTGTTGCTGCTGTTGCTGTTGCTGTTGCTGTTGCTGTTGCTGTTGCTGCTCCCGCTGCTGCTGCTGCTGCTGCTGCTGCTGCTGCTGCTGCTGCTGCTGCTGCTGCTGCTGCTGCTGCTGCTGCTGCTGCTGCTGCTGCTGCTGCTGCTGCTGCTGCTGCTGTTGTTGTTGCTGCTGCAGTTGTTGTTGCTGCTGTTGCTGCTGCAGCTGTTGTTGTTGATGCTGCTGCTGCTTCTGTTGCTGTTGCTGCTGCTGCTGTTGATGATGATGTTCGTCCTGCTGACGATTTAACAGCTGCACTGAACCACGCTGCACCGAACCACGCTGCACCGAGCCGACTGGCCCAACATCCCGCAGCTTGACCGCAGCAGCCAGGTTCGGCACGTGCCTGTCGTCAGAACCACACACTCGATCCTTCCAATCCAGAATGGCAGCAGCCACATGCTGTGCATTCGCATGCAGCAGTGTCTTGAACATATCGCCTATAGTCACACCTCCACCACTACCGCCCTCTCCATTCGTTTTAGTCACCCCACCATCACCACCCTCCCCATTCCCTTCTCTCACCCCACCTCCACTCCCCTCTCCATTCGTTTTAGTCACACCAGTGACACCAGTTCCCGTCCCATCCTCCTTACCCACGCTGGACGCCTTATTACCACACTCAATCGCACCATTATCCTTTCCTCCTCCACCTCGCCCTTCCTCACATGCTCCAAGCTCGTTCCAACCACCCTGCTGCGCAGCTGTTACCCCTTCCTGAAACGTCTCCCCATCCCCCACCGATTTTCTTCCCGCTTCCTCTCCACTGTCCCCTATAGCTGCTGCCATTTCAGCAGCTGTTCCCAGCATCTTCCCCGTTTCCTGATCTCCTCCTCCTCCTCTCCCATCCCCATCACGCACAAATCTCTTGACTGCGCTTCTGCCATGCTCGCCCATGCCCGTTGGCGCTTCTTTCCTCTTCCGCTCCGGCATCTCCCAAACACCACTGCCTTTACTGGCACCAGCTGTGCCAGCAGCGGCTGTAGCAGCAGCGGCTACCGTAGAAGCATCTGTAGCAGCAACATCATCTGTAGCATCTGTAGCGGTATCATGAGCTGTAGTCTCCCCGTCTGTAGCAGCTGCTGCTAGATCCAAATGGAATAGCTCGGCCAATTGGACGCTCAGGATCGACTGGTTCAGCGGGCTGGTATCAATCAACGGCTCAGCTTCCTGCTCCAGAACCTTCTTGTCTTCAAGCGATTTGTCCAGCAAAAATTGGTCCGAGACCAAGACTGACGTGTCACCTCCAACAGAATACGCCCGGGGCAGGGTTGGAGAACCAGGCTCGGAAGAAGCAGACCTGGGAAGTACAGGCTCGGAAGAAGCAGACCTGGGAAGTACAGGCTCGGAAGCAGCGGGGGCGGCAGGTCCAGTAGCAGGGCTGGAAGGCGCCGAAGCAGAGAGGTGGGAGGAAGGAACCAGGTCTGGTTTCTGGTTCGACGGGGTGGAAGGCCGAACCTGCAGGTCCGGTTTCTCTTCTTTCTCCTCTCCATCCTCATTCTTCTCTATATCCTGCACTGAGATAGTAGTCACTGCAGCAGCCGCAACAGTTGCAGCAGCCGAAGCAGCAGCAGCAGAGGCCTCAGCAGCCAGCCACGCAGAGGACGGGCTTCTTTTCGGTGCAGAGGAGGAAGCAGCAGCAGCGGAGCCTCGTTTCGGCCCTGAAGAAGCCTTTGCGTCCCTGCGTGGATCTGCAGATCCCGTGGCAGGAGCTGCAGTGGTAGTGGTGGTTGTTGTGGTGTTGGCGGTGTCGGTGGTGGCGGTTTGCAGGCGTTGCTGCTCCAGGAATCGCCTGCTCAGGTGGGGAAAACAAGAGGGGAAGAGCAGAGGGGGTAGACAGCCGAAAGGAGGGCGACTCTTGAGTCCAGGGTTCAGGGTTATGGAGGTGCTTCGGTGTGGCGTTGCTTGCTGCTGCTCAAGAGCGGCAGTGGTGAGGGAAACCATGGACGCAGGGAAGGAGATGCTGCTCGAGAAACCTCTTGCTCGGTGAGTGATATGGTAGATGGGAAGGGAGACGATATTAAGAGGGAGAGGGGAAGGAGACGGACAGGGAAGGAAATTCAAATCTGATCAGGACCATCAGACCTGATCAGCACCATTAGATCTGGCCAGCAGCATCAGATCTGATCTGATCGCATCAACACCATGAGATCTGATCAGCAGCATGAAATCTGATCCGATCAGACCTCTCGATCAAAGACCGTGTCTAGAAAAATGGCCGAAAACTGGCCGTCATTCTCAAATGGCGTATCATATCCGAGACATCTCAAATGGACTTCAAATCGACTTGGAAAGCACCTTGCCAATCTAGCTTTCCACACACAGTAGCGCCTCACTTCTTAAGGAGGATGAAGCGGTTGCAGCAGGCCTTGTTGTCCCGGAGAGGCAGCTCTCGGCTCCGCTGCAGGAGGCCCCAGTTGCGCGTGCCATGGCGCATCACGTGCTGCAGCAAAATTCGGTCTTCCTGAGAGGATGACGATGGGTGAGAATGGGTGATAATGGGTTAGGTGATGATGGTTAATCATGCGTGATAATGGGTGCGCACAAGCAGCAGACCCCAGTTGCTCGTGCCATGACGCATCACGTGCTGCAGTAATATGCGGTCCTCCTGAGGGGATGATGGGTGGTGATGGGAGCATGGGTAACAGTTAGAGCATGGGTAACAGTTAGAGCATGGGTGCAATCTAGTGATCTTGCGGATCAAACCACTCTTGAGAATTCTCAAAAGTGATCAGATCAGATCAGATCAAATCAGGCATGATCCTTGGATGGGCGGCACAGGAGCAGCGCACCTGGTTGCTCCACCGGATGAACTGCTCGGGCGGGATCGACGAACTGTTCCACGCGACTTTTGAGTCGACTCAAAAGTCTCCGGGAGGCAGCAAGGCACAGGGTGGGGAGCAGCAAGGCACAGGGAGGGGAGCAGCGCACCTGGTTGCTCTCAGAGACGCACCTGGTTGCTCCACCGGATGAATTGCTCGGGTGGGATAGACGAGCTGTTCCACGCACTGCCACGTGGCGACACCGCCGCCATGGAAGGCCGAAAGCCTGAAGAAGCCACTGCCAGGGGCGGCGGTGCTAGGGGTGACACTGCTTGGGGCGGCATTACTTGGGGAGGCGCTATCCGGGGAGGCGCTGATTGGAAAGCAGCTCCCTGGAACGCAGCTGCCCGGAAAGCAGAAGCTTCCTGGAAAGCAGCTGCCTGGAAAGCCGCAGCTTCGTGGAAAGCAGCTTCTTGGAAGGACGCGCCGCCTGTCAGGGTGTTGTGAAACGGCGGTGGTGGCCTGGAGCCGTTGCTGCCGCTGCCTCCATGAGGGTACGGCGATCGGATCGGCTGATTCGGACCCGATGCTTTCTGGTTCATGTCGACCTTCGGACTGCACGAAGCTGTATGATATCCACTCCCGTGACAGGTCTCTGGTTCTTAGAGCTCCCTCTCGTACTTAGAGCTCTCACTGGTACTTAGAGCTCCCACTGGTACTTAGAGCTCCCTGTGGTACTTCGAGCTGGTATCCACTCCCACTGATCCTGAGAGCTGTTTAGTATCCGCTCCCCCTCTCACTTCCGTACGGTACTCCTCTCCCTTTGCCACTGAACAGTGTCACTCTAAATGCACCGTAATTGCTCAGACTCCTCCCTCCAGGTCTCCTCACCAAGTCTTGTCTCCAGGCCTCCTCACCAGATCTCCTCACCAAGTCTCTTCACCAGTTCACCTTACCCGGGTCACCTATGGAGCTTCGATAACTACCACAACTAGTAAAGGTGGAGGGTGCGTGTCTGCCGCTACCTAAAGGATTAACCAGGAGCCGTGATTTCAAGGAAGGCCTCGGACTGCGCATTGTCCGGATGTCTGATGTGCAGGAGGGGAGAGATTTGAAGAGAAGGGGAGTCTATCCGACTGACTGGTATAAGTACTCGCGTGGAGACTTACGTTGTGATGAATCAGCGCCAAGTGGTTTCTCTGGTACGCCTCTCTTAGGATCTCGCTGAAACTCGTTTGGACTACACATATGCGGTATGAACGCTCCGTGAGTAGTCGGGCTAATCACGAAACACTTTGCGCGAAGTGGAGCCTATCAGAGGATTATGGTAACTTGAGATTGGCGCCATATACATGAATACGACATCGCGGGATTAGGGACTCGAAACTGGACGGCTCGATACATTCAGGAGTCCTGTGTTGACATGATTAACGCTCAGGGTTTCAGCGAATCGTTCGGTGCTTTCGGTGAGCTAGCAGAACGCTATTTCACGCCACGCGCCGCAAAAAAGTAGGAACAGGACGAATCTGCTGCTAATGCGGCGGGTTCTGCCAGTAGTAGGTACAGTAGTAAGGCTGACAATGTGAGCGCATGAGAAAGACGTTTCGAGCGAAATCCATCTAAAAGACTCGCATGCATTTAGAAAGCCAACTACTAAGTGTTTCCGGCAGCACTTTGCTGATAGGATGCACTCAACTGCCTGCAGTGTAACAAAAAGTCTCGGGGAGTCGAACGAGAATCTCTGTGGATCGAGATACAAGCGCCATTTGCACAACTGCTCCAAAAGCTGCAGCCAGTTTTGGATCAGATGAGTCAGGGAAGGCGACCTTTTTCCAAAATGTGAACGAGGTGAATGCGAGCGTCACCACCGTTGCATCGACGCCATGGCTGGTTCCTGGTTTCTGCCGGAATGTGATTGCACTGTGCCCAGCAGAGAACATCGCAGTGCGAAGCGGAGATCAAGACGGAAATGGGGTTTCGCTTCGCACGCCCCTTCCTGTCACAAAGAGCTTTCGTTCAAGCTGTACAGTACGCTCCGGAATCGATCCCTTTCTCCTGCTACCCTTCCCTTCCATCCCCCCTTTCCGATAAAACCAAGCAAGGTCGCCCAAACCGAGACAGATCGCATGCCCGTGCCCGACAATCGCGTGACCGATAGCGCAGAATGGCCGCTTCGGGACCCCTATCGTGTTGATTTGACGGTTGGAGGATGGGATGTTCTATAGAAGTGTACTTATCCCTTGGAGAAAAATAAAATACCGGGGTATTGTTTTATGCTTCGCGTTTTAGATTTCGACAGAAATACATACAAGAGTTTTCCTCAGAATCTCCACCCTCCCGCAAATTTGCAAGTCAACATTTTGTAAGTGCTGTCTCATAGTAGCACCCGCGAATTCAAGCTGTCTCGTTGCTCCGCGTGCGATGAAGAGGGACAAAGTGCCTGACGTAGCCGAAGCACGCCATTCTCATGCGGTCATATGAGAGTCTGGCGCGTGCCCCCTGCAATGATGAAATCGTTTTCGTAACCCTGCATAGGCCCGCTCAAGATGGGCCGTGGAAAAGCGTCAGCAAGCTGATTCGGCATAAAATATCCACCTTCCAAGGCCTCAAAAACGAGGGAAGATACATTGCGGGCACTGAACATGGCTTTGGCTATAGAACGCAGCAAGTCCAGTTCCCACTCGGAAAGGTTTTATTGGGTGGTGTTCCAAAACAGTCCCAAGGACTCCGTCCATTCGACCAAGAAACCGTACCCCAATCACCATGTGGAACATGCTAGCCACGTTCTCCTCCTTCCACATTCTTAGTCGTATACACTTAGCTGACGAATGCTTTAACACAATCAATTCATAAGAAACAGTCCAGCTTTACCCCCTCAGACACTTCACTGGCGTCCTTTCCATTGAGGGAGGGCCAACACAGTCAGTATGTGAGTCATCACAGCTGTAACACAGTGCTTTTAGCTGGCATTCTGCAGAAGCGATCAGCTACGCTCGCCGAAACGACAGATCGCTGAACGTGGTCAGCATTGTTTCGCCAGGTTCATCCATGTCCAGGCGCATGAACCTTGGCACCGCAATTTCCATAGCAGTTGCGAGAGCTCAAAGATTCGACACCAGCTTCGGTCAAAGTTGGATCCGGGCCTGAAATCGAGGGTTACGAGAAATCTGTACAAACATTTCACGTGTGAGAATGATGCCCAGGTCCTTGTGTATAGGTTGTGTCTCCGATAAGAGGTGCTCTATAAAACTCTACAATGAACTGAATGGTCACAATGGCCTAGAGGAAGAAACTACTTATCACCCTCTTTGAATAGGTGATCCCAGAGCCTCAGAACCGGTAGAAGGCCCAAATACACCCAACTTTGTGGATCTATACGAGGGCTTGCAAAACTATACAGAAAACACGCTCAAGAGGGTCATTCTGTACCATAGAGAACCACTAGATGTGGCACAAAGAATTGACATGAGCTGCTGTTACAATATCGACCCTTGCATGCAACGACTAACCAGAGGCACCCTACATACCATTGGTACCGTGGCGTTTAGTGCCACATTCAGAGCAGAACTTAGAGGAATCCCTAACATATGTGGCCCCACACTCGTCGCAGTACTTGGCAAGTGCAGCAGCAGCCGCAGCAGCTGCTGCTGCCGCTGCTGCAGATTGCTGCACACAGCCATAGGGCGTCTCTCCACACTCCGCCTGAAGGGAAACAAGAGTAGGTGATGCAAAAAAACACAGAATGTAAGCATAGACTTCATAGCTGATCCTGCTGCTGCAGCTGAAACAGCTGCATGGATTCCCAGCCATAGGTTGAATCTCCACAAACCTTCTGTAGTCATGCGACGCATCTATACAGTTTTTGAGACGTATCAAAACTCAGTACGGAAGAAATCCCATTCGCAGTGTGGTTACCGGTTGATGCACTTACTCCGGTGCGAAGCATAACTTGGTGATGCACTTACCGGGGTGAGAACCATGGCCAGGTGATGCGACCCAGAAGGCAGCAACCCCCTCGGCAAGTGCGGCGGCACATGCCCCGGCCCCATACACTGCTGCCCCTCCCCCCCCTGCATGTGCCCCAAGGGACCACCAGGCCCCTGGGGAAGATGGCCCAGAGGCATTCCCCCTCCCGGCCCCATCTGCTGGTGCCCAGGCATCCCCCCCTGCTGTGGGTGCCCGTGGGGGGGCCCTGGGGGGAGTGGGATGGGGCCTCCGGTTTGATGGTGGATTTGCAGGTGGATTCCTGCTGCTCCGGCTTGGTGGTGGGGTGGGACGGATTGGAGGGGGGCGTTGCCGGTTAGGTGGGGGGAGGGCTGCTGCTGGTTGGACGGCCGTTGCTGCTGCTGCTGTTGTTGCTGTTGTTGTTGCTGTTGCTGTTGTTGTTGCTGGTGGTGTTGGTGCTGTTGGTGGTGCTGGTGTTGGTGTTGCTGCTGGTGCTGCTGCTGCATCTGTTGCTGCATGGATGGGTCTGATGGGTGATGCTGGGAGGAGTCCGCCATGACCATTGCCTGCAGCATGGGAGAACGAAGCATAGATTAGAGTCATGAACATTGCCTGCTGCAGCTGCTGCTGCATGGATGTGTCGAATGGGTGATGCTGGGAAGAGTCCGCCATCACCATTGCCTGCAGCAGTGGGGGAAGACGCATGGCATGGCATGGCGTGGCGTGGCGTTGCGTGGCATGGAATGGCATGGCATGGCATGGCACGGGAAAGGACACGCACAATCATGCCAGGGATGTTTGAGAGGTGATGATGGAAAAATCCTGACTTGGCCGTGACCCATGACCATGGCCCATGCTAACCATGTGGTGGTGCATGGGAGCAGGCAGGGAGGTCGGCTGCGCTCACCAGACACAGCGAACACAGACAGGATCGGCGAGTTTAGAGGCACGTCAAAACCCCCTCGCCTCTCCTCTCTCCTTTCCCCCATTCCTCCCCCTCTCCAACCCCCCTTCTCAGCCTCCCCTGCTCCCCCCCTCTCTCTCCCCTTTATTACCGTCCTTACCATGTGGTGCATGGGAGCAGCAAGTTCAGCTGGGTTCGCCACAGTCACAGCTGACACGGACGGCTGAGGCACCCTCCGGGGTTTGGGCCGCGGCGTGAAGTACTTGAAATCCCGCGGGTATATCGCCACCTCATGCCGCCCGGTTATGCGCTTGAACCTGGGAGAGGAGAAGTGGGGTGTGAAAGGTTCTTTTACGTGCCTCAAAAACACTACGGGGTTTGGGCCGCGGCGTGAAATACTTGAAGTCCCACGGGTATATTGCCATGCCACCTCATGTCGCCCGGTTATCCTCTTGAACCTACGAGAGGAGAGCAGAGTGAAGTGTTTCGTAAGACACCTCAGCAACACTTTCAGGTTTGGACCGCCGCGTTAAGTACTTTAAGTCCCACGGGTATATTGCCACCGCATGCCGCCCGGTTATGCGCTTGAACCTGGGAGAGGAGAGGCAGAGAAGAACAAGTCTTTAGGTGCCGTGATAAACCATTCAGGGTTTGAGCCTTGGCATCCAGGTTTTATCATACGGTCGTTTTTTTGAAAATTTACCGTAAAATACGGTATCATCTAATAGGCTCCTGTGGGAAATCATAGAGCAGTTTAAAAAATACGGTCATATTAACATTGCTTGGCGTGAAGTACTTGAACTCCCATGGGTACATTACATTGCCACCTCATACTAGAAAGCACTTTATAAAGCATAGAGAAAAGCACTGAGTCAACGGGAAAGTGGTGAACCGTGAACCTACCACTAAGCATCGTCGGGTGGCATGGTGGAGGGGTGCTCCACCAGCTCCAGCCCATGCACCACGATGACCCGACCTTTGGGAATTTGTACGAGAGAAACTATCAACTATGGCAGTAAGACAATGTAAAAGTACAAGTGCACATCACGACGAGCTTACCACTCAGCGTCATCAGGTGACATGGTGGACGGTCGTTCCACGAGCTCCAGCCCATGCACCACAATGAACCGCACGCGCTTGTAGCCCCTTGAAACACAGAGAGAGACCAGATCTCTGTGTAACGGTGATAAGCTTACCACTCAGCATCGTCAGGTGACATGGTGGAGGGTCTCTCCACCAGCTCCAGCCCATGCACCACAATGAACCGCACGCGCTTGTCGTCCCTCCCAAGCACCAGCTGCGGGAAGCGCGCCCTGGCCTCCAAAGCAGATGCCATCTCCCTTCTCCTGAATATGGTCACGGCTCCTGAGAGAACGAGAAAGCAGGGGGGCACTGGAAGTGTGAGTAGCTGTAGCACGCGCTGTCATCCCGTTCCACCAGTTCCAGCCCATGCACCACAATGAACCGCACACGCTTGGCGTCCCTCCCAAGCACCAGCTGCGGGAAGCGAGCCCTGGCCTCCAAAGCAGATGCCATCTTCCTGCGCCTGAATATGGTCACGGCTCCTGTGGGAACAAGAAGCAAGGGGAGCAAGGGGGCACTAACAGACTAAATTGCACGCACTTCGTAGGCCTCCTCAATACTGGTTTCGTTGTCTCCTTTCGTGTGCGGATGCACGGACGGAGGGAGCGAGCACACCCCTACTACCCACCGGACTTGGGGAATTTCTCGACCATGCGCCGATACAGCCCGCCAGCAGCCTCCAGAGCGAGCCCCATGGTCTTGCCGCGCAGCACGTCCATCTCCGCCATGCGCTGGTTCACCTCGCCCACCCCCTCGTACCACAGCGTAACCAGGGAGAGGTGGATGGAGCGCTGGTTCACCTCGCCCACCCCCTTGTACCACAGCGTAACCAGGGAGAGGTGGATGGAGCGCTGGTTCACCTCGCCCACCCCCTCGTACCACAGCGTAACCAGGGAGAGGTGGATGGAGCCCTGGTTCACCTCGCCCACCCCCTCGTACCACAGCGTAACCAGGGAGAGGTGGATGGAGCGCTGGTTCACCTCGCCCACCCCCTCGTACCACAGCGTAACCAGGGAGAGGTGGATGGAGCGCTGGTTCACCTCGCCCACCCCCCCGTACCACAGCGTAACCAGGGAGAGGTGGATGGAGCGCTGGTTCACCTCGCCCACCCCCTCGTACCACAGCGTAACCAGGGAGAGGTGGATGGAGCGCTGGTTCACCTCGCCCACCCCCTCGTACCACAGCGTAACCAGGGAGAGGTGGATGGAGCGCTGGTTCACCTCGCCCACCCCCTCGTACCACAGCGTAACCAGGGAGAGGTGGATGGAGCGCTGGTTCACCTCGCCCACCCCCTCGTACCACAGCGTAACCAGGGAGAGGTGGATGGAGCGCTGGTTCACCTCGCCCACCAGCGCCTCATACGCGCTCCAAGGTGCCACGGCCCCCCCTCGTATCGTGTGACGCCCCGTACCAAGGGAGAGGCGGAGGGAGGAAGGGAGGCAGACAGGCAGGCAGGGAGGGAGGCAGGGAGCTAACACCCCTACTACCCACCGGACTTGGGGAATTTCTCGACCATGCGGCGGTACAGCCCCCCCGCAGCTTCCAGAGCGAGCCCCATGGTCTTGCCGCGCAGCACGTCCATCTCCGCCATGCGCTGGTTCACCTCGCCCACCAGCGTCTCGTACGCGTTCGCCAGGAAGATGAGCGGCAGCAGGTGCCGCGGATCCCCCTCGTATGACGGCCGGATCACCTGCTGCTCCACTGGCGGCTGCCCGTCCTCCATCTGTGGGGGGGTGGAGAGGAGGGGAGCAAGAAAAATCGATGAGCGGCAGCAGGTGCCGCGGGTCCCCCTCGTATAACGGCCGGATCACCTGCTGCTCCACCGGCGGCTGCCCGTCCTCCATCTGCAAAGCGAAACCAAGATAATCAAAGGTGGATGGAATGGGGAGAATGAGCCCATGGGTCCCCCTCGTACGACGGCCGGATCACCTGCTGCTCCACTGGGGGCTGCCCGTCCTCAATCTGAAAAAAAGGGTCGAAGACAACGAGTTCAACGAGTAGTGGAAGGAGGAGGGACACCAAAGAAGGGATGTGAAAAAAAAACAAACAAACAAACTTCACCTCTCTCGCCTCCCGCTTACCTCTCTGGCCCGGCGCTTCCTCCTCTCCCCTGGGGAGTGCGAGGCTGCGAGCTGCGACTCCTCGGAGATGGGAACGATGTGGTACGTCACGAAGTGGTCGATGATCAGGTGCAGGAAGCGCACGCGCGCAGCCTCGATCGGCAGCAGATCTGCCATACACGGCGCGGACGGACCCACAGGCGAAACACGGGTAGGCGAAATAAGTTCAGGCGAAACAAGGGTTGGCGAAACAAGGGACGGACCCGCAGGGGAAACAAGGGTATGCGAAACAAGGGACCACAAACGATTCCCTTTTAGCGTGTCAGAGAGAGCGAGTCGAATCTGAACGGAAATAATTTGAACGTATCTGGGGTGCCGTATAAGGTAAATTGATTTGTCCTGGGGTGTACCGTGGATGTTGAGGGGGCTGTACGGCTGTTGAGATTCAGGAGGTTCCGATTCCTCTGAGACGACTTGCATTGCGAGGCCCCCGTCGTAGGCCTGATGATGGACGCCGTCCGCCATGGCTTGAGGATCCATGGCCTGTAGAGACAGACACACAGCGACGAGCGGATAGAAGAAGGAGAAGAAAAAAGGAGAATGTTAAAGAGTAGGAAATTTAGACGAGAAAAATTGCAACAGTTTGATAAAATCGGAAAATGACAATCTGCTTGCCTGTGTAAGTTCGGAAGCAGGGCCTTGCTGCATGGTGCTACCGCTCTGCACGCTCGCTTGCATGGCGCTCTGAAGGCCAGACTGCATGCTGTTCGGAACAGACGACTGGGAATGGAGCGGACCCTGATGCTCCTCCTGACCCGGCTGCTGCTGCTGCTGCTGCTGCTGTTGTTGCTGGAGGAGGTGATGTTGCTGCTGCTGTGACTGCTGCTGTTGCTGTTGTTGCTGTTGTTGCTGTTGCTGCTGTTGCTGCTGCTGCTGCTCTCTTGCGTGGTGATGCGGGTCCATTTGCTCATCCTGATGGTGCTGATGTTCTTGTTGCTGCTGTTGCTGTTGTTGCTCTTGCTTAATTTGTTCGGAAGGAAGCGGAGGAGGAACCGAATATTGATCCGGATGCTGGGAATCCTGGAGCGAAGATTTCAGTTCTTCCGGCTGACCGTCCAGGACAACTTGAGGCTGCTGCTGCTGCTGTTGCTGTTGGTCGAGAATGCTTCCGTGAACTGCCTGTTGCAAGCTTCCGTCATTCACGCATGAGAGGTCGTGGGCAGACATTCCGTTACCGTTAACAATATTCCTAGGTTCGCCTTGCGTGCCGTACGCGACGGAAGTCATTCTTCAGGTGAATTCACTAACTCGATTGATTATCTTGCAACAACGTGGAAACGAGTCGTCAACGCGGTTCCAGAATTAGCTCCTATTTGAATGTGAGGAAATCGATCTATCTAAATCCGCGATTCGAGATGTATGTATTGGTTGGGGAGGTTAGCTCGTGCCAGCCATTGCTTGGGATGAAGCCAGACCAACACAGGAGCGGCGGTAAACACGACGAGCCAAGAAACAGGAGAGGGAGGGAGCAGTAACAAGAATGGAGAACGAGGGTCGCGGCAAACCGTAGGCAAGGGAGGAGAGAAAGGCAAGCTTGGAGAAAGCAAAGCGAGTTTGGAAACAGATCTATGGCTGCCGGTGCTGCAGACGCGTGGCTTGGGTTTGGTGAAGAAGCAGGAAAGGCAGGCCTGGGGGGAAATGGGAGAGGCTGGGGGGGAAGCGCTGGAGGTATGGGGGGAAAGTAGCAGGTATGGGGGAAGGTATGGGGGAGAAGCCTGGGCGTATGGGGAAGTTGGGGAAGAGGCTGTGTGACGTTGGACCTTGCGCGCGCCTGTAAGGTGGCGGGCGCGGAGATATCTTGGATGAGGTGGCTGGGGGGCGGAAACTTCAGTTGTGGACAAAGCTAGGGTTTGGTGCGGGCTCGGCCAGAGCGAGGGTTTCGATTCCTTGCTGCGAGGGTTTGGTGTGGCCAAGGCGAGATGTTGGTGTGGAGCGGGCCATTCCGGGCCTGACACGTCGGACCATGCGACTGGTTGGGATGCGAACTTCGATAAGGGCGGCGTCACACATGCTCTGGGCTAGACGGAGGGGCATGTTTGGGGATGTGTTTTGATTCGGCGGCTGTCGGAGGTCAACGTTCGTTCGATGAACGCTGCATGCGGTACACCGTCAGATAAAATTCCAGCGTCTTCGCAACACCAGGAAAAAAAAGTCCATATCTAACGCCATTCCAAAATTAAGCTAGAATATCAAAATATGTACAACTAAACAAAGGCACTACGATATATAAATACACTTCCTAAAAATGTTGAAGCTTGAGCGTTGCAACTGCATGTCTATTAATCGCTACTTGTCGCTCACTACCAGATGAACTAATTTCACCATCGAGCGTGCACGATGAAGAGGACGAAGACGAAAATGGTGACCCCATAGGTGGTGAAGCACTCATGGGACTAAAGGACACTGAAGGGGAGTGAAACGACATAGCCTGAACATTGACCACATCACGCCGACCAGGTTCTGTGGCAGATCTTGGCATGAGAGAGAGCATCTGCTGAGCAACGGTGGGTTGTGCCATGGCAGCAGCGCTCACATTGTCCGATCTAGCACGTGGATACGCTTCCACGCCACCAGCCGCATGGTTAGCCCGCATAAGGTGCTGCTCCTGCTGCAGCTGCGGCTTCGGCTTCTGGTGAGATACTTTCATCCTTGAAACTTGATCACTCCTCGCATTCGCGCCATCACGAGAAGTGGAGCCATGGGAAAGAGGCGATGGGCACCCCACAGCTCGTCCGAGCAGTCTGGGGGAAGAATAGCCTGGAGAACCCTTATTGCTGCCACCGCCCCTGCCACTCCCACTGCCACTACCACTGCCAGTTCTGCTGCCACTGGCACTACCACCGTCTATGGACTCACTTGGTGCATCCATCCTTGTTCCTTGAGCGACATCCACTGCTGCTGCACCTCCTGCTACAGATGCAGCTCCCGCTACAGCCGACGTTCCTGCTACAGCCGCTGCTTCAGCGCGCAATGCTGGTGCCAGCCCCGACTTGGTGCTCCTCCCTTGGGAGCCTCCTCTGGTCGGTGCTCTCGTTGCACCCATCAGCACCGGACCTGACGCTGTTCTTGGCCCCAGTGTGACTGTAGCGGGGGGAGCCGCCGAGCTGGGCGGCAGAGAGGAGCACGAGCGGAGGGGCGAGTTAAGGCGCCTTCCAGAGGGCGGACGACGGGGGGAGGAGGATGCGGGGGAAATGGAGGAAGGGCGGGGAGAGGAGGTTGTGGAGAAGATGGGGGAAGGGGAGCGGCGCGCAGAAGCAGGAGTTGGGGAGGAGGGGGCGGAGGAGGAAAGGCTACTAGGGCCGTCGGATCGCATCCTGCCCCCCTGATCCAACGGTTCAGATTGGAGAGGGGAGGGAGAGATGGGGAAGGAGCGGTGAAGGAGCAGGCGGTGCTGGCGGTGCGCGCTGAGGGGGACGGTGAAGGGCGGAGACGGCGCGGGGGAAGAATCAGGAGAGCGGTTTGACTGTGAGTCTGTAGAGAGGGAGTCGCAATGTGACTGTAACGAAGGGAGGTCGACTCGAAGGTTGGGGCGGGGACGAGTGTGGGCGGGCCTGCTGCTGTCGACGTGGCCTGCTGGGTAAAAGGCAGTGGCTGACGTGGCATCGGCAGCAGAAGCGGGAGGAGCAGCGACGGCGGCGAGAGCGGCGGAAGGAGCGGTGCTTCGGAAGCGGGAGAGCCGGAGGCGGGACGTCGCAGCAGTCGGCGACGGCGGAAAGGACGGCGGGTGAGGAGTGAACGGGTAGCTCGGCTCGACGACGATTACTAATTCGGCACGCGAAGCGGTCATCGCGCCAGCAGCGCAGCTACTACTAGTACCGCTACTGGCGGAAACGCGCGCAGCAGCGGAAATCTGAACAGCCGCGGCAGTCGCGGAAGATTCGTCAGAAGGAACTACTGGAGGGTCGTGGGACGTGGGGAGTGACTTGGAAGACGGAAACTGCTGTCGGGCCGGGAGTGTCGGCGCCGACGGCGAGGCGGAGAGGTTGGCACTCGCGGGGCCCGAGACAGAGCGCGGAAACGCCAGCTGCGGCGGCGGCCTGCGCGGAGACGTGGTCTGCGCGCTCAGGTTCGTGTGCGCGTGCGGCTCCGGCGGTGCTGCGCCTTCCGACCCGAGTCCCCGCCCTGAGCTTAATCTACCACCAACTCTGCCACTAGCTGCGACTTTCAATTCCGCCATTTCCGAGCGACGCATTTCTGCGACGGCAGTGTCCGTGGAATGCGCCCCGGGCGGCGGCGCCGCCGGTGTTGCGCTCCCAGTCTCACCATCCCGAATCTCACGACTCATCGAACCAGCCTCGCCGTGACGACTTGCATTCCGTACCCTTGCCGCTTTCTCACCAACAGAGGCTTTCCCACGAACCACCGCGACTGGGGGAGCCTGTCCGGTAGTGTCGCCCCGAACTTCTCCCGCTGCCGCGGAACGGAGCCCATCTGCCGCTGCCGATGCGAGACGGAATGCCCCTGCCTCTGCGCGAACCTTTCCCCCTGCGAGCTTCTCGCCGCGACGTGCTCCCCGTGCGCGCGTTCCGCAATCTCCCGGCGTTGCCCCGCCGGGCCGGCGCGTCTCCCGCTTCTCCCGCATTTCCCCGCACGTTTCCTGCGTCTCCTGCGTGTCTCGCGCCTCCCGCGTCACCTGGAGGGCCTCCCGAGCACCCCGCGTCTCCCGCGTCTCTCCTGTCGTCTCTTGCTCTCCCCCCGCTCCCGTCGCTGTCGACTCAGCCGACTGCGCGCGTCCTTCAAGGAAAAACTCTCTCCTATTGACGACATGATCCGCCAATTCCGCGGATTCCGCCGATTCCGCTCGTTCTGCGGACCCCGCCACTCTTGGTGTTTCTCGTGTCGACTCGAAGCGGCTGCGCGCTGCGCGACCCGGAGCTCGCGTGCGCGCAGCAGGCGGAAGCTCCGCGCGTTCCCCGTGCGGGTCCGTACCGATGCTCAATGATCCGAGTGACACGTGGTGGCGCTCCATCGCCGCTCTCGAGCCCCTACTACTACTATTACTACTATAGAGTCTGCCTGCTTTCCTATCGCCCTCGTGAAGTGGGACCGCCGCCGCAATCATCGGCTCTAACGAGTTGCAAAATATCTGAACACATCCGCTCTGTGCTGTCGGCACTTTCTCTACTAGATCTTCTGAAGCTGTGTGCTCTCTCGGGGTGAAGTAGAACTGCCAAGTACAGGAGTTTCTTGAATCTGCCAATTCGTTCTGTGGTCAATGCAATACAGCGGTCTAGCTGTAAGGACCTTTCTAGCTCAAGTGGATAAAACGGACGAGCCGTCCAAGCGATTATTTGTGGGTTACATTAACGCAAGAAGCGACGAGTGCGGAGTGTGGCTAGAAGCAGCAACGAAGGAAGTGAGTAACGGACACCTGCTTTGACGGGACAGTCGCAATCTTATCACTCCTTCACAATCCCAAATTGTACTGACGACGATGCCACGGTCCGTCCGGTCCCACGGAGTACACCTGGTCCGCGGTATTTTAACCGCGCGAAAATGGGTAGCAGGATTTTGGATTATCTGGCCGTGGTGAAGATAAGTGTGCAAAATTTCGGTCATTATTTTCACCACCAAATATCTGAACAGCATGGAAAGTTGGGCCATTTTCAGGTGCAATCCCAACAATTCGGGAAATGTATTCAGGTGGGATCCCGACGCATCTCTCCAAGTCTCTGTTGCGCACTGTATACACGTGCCGGAACAAAGCCTTGGAAAGATGCGCCAATCAAATATGTACTCGCTGAGGGAATTTAATGCGCTCGCACACGCTTCGTACCGACGCTACCAGGAATTGCCAAGACAGACCAAAAACAATACTAAAGGCCTTAGTGACCCTGGACGCATTTTCTGGAGATCAACCCTTAACACGGGAACCTCCTGGTGTTTAGGGTTGATGCTTTTTCGAGGTTCCCGTGAGAAAAACGAAAACCCAATCGGAAACGGATTTGATTCGGGAAGCATCAACCCTAAACACCAGATGGGTTCGCGTGTTTAGGGTTGATCCCTCCAAAAAATGCTTCCAGGTTCTCTAGGGTTTTTTTTTTCGGTTGGCCATAATAGATTCGGGTTGTTTGGTCTGGCCATGTTCTCTGTTTGATTTCCGTCAAATGTGTCAGAGACAATAAAATCCGTCAGCTAGAACAAGGTGTGAGTGGCGAGTCTGCACAAGGCTCTGTTTCGGCACGTGTATACAGTGTCGTAACAGTGCCGTAACAGATCGGGCTCCCACCTGAATACATTTCCCGAATTGTTGGGATTGCACCTGAAAATGGCCCTGGAAAGTTTTGACAGCACTACTCAAATGGAGCAATTCGGCTCTTTTCGCCATCTGGAATGTTCCAGAGTCGGGAAAGTAAAACCATCGACGGTGACGATTCTTTTTGGAAAATTCGGATGGGGAAATTCGCTTGCCACGTGGACGGCGCCAGCTGAAATATCAAAAAAAGGCTTGGCAATCTGCAACTTGGTTCGGTCAAGTGTGAACAGCGATTTCTGGCCACCCAACAAGAAACGCCCAGCGTGCCGACAAACTTGGTTACGATACCGGCGATTAAAATACCGCGGACCAGGTGTATGGGAGCGAAACAGATCATTCCCGTCCCGTCCCGTCCCGTCCCGTCCCGTTCTTGATTTGGGATGGTGTTCTTGGTTGGGGTTGTGGGGCAAATTTCGTCCCCCGCCGTTCGTCCACGCGAGTACGAAAACGGGAACGAATCCGGACGAAGAAAACCGAATGTTTTGAGAGTTTACCGAACAAACCGAGAGAAACCAGGCAAATGCAACAACTCGCATTTCCCAGAAAATGGGCTCTGTGCTTTTCGATGCTTCGTCGGCGCGATGCGGCAGCAATTCCTAGGACGAGTCGCAGATTTGGAGAATTGAGGCCCCAATTTCCATGGAGCACGTTTCGCAATTTGAGAAAGGGAAGGAAACAAGCTTTTACCCAGATTATTCAGACAATTGCGCTTCTTCGCCAAACCACTCAACAGAACCAAGCATCTGTTTGACAACTCCCTCGCAACAATTTATAAGTTTGTTCACCGATTCGCCACGGCTGTTGCCCCATCTCTGTTCTGATTCTCTGACGGTGTGAAGCTCATGGGGTAGTTGGTCAACTGTGAACCCTACCATTTTGGCAACACGAAGTACACCCAACTCTGGTCGTGGCCAGATGCACCTTGGATGTGGCAAGAAAGTGGTCTTGCGTGGAACGATGTGGCAGCCGTTTCGTTTCTAGGAAGCCGACAAGTAAGCAGCAACATACCACGTCAGCTAAAGATATTCAAAGGGATTTGTTCACTGAATCACCGACATGGGATCACGTGGGAGCGTCACTGCCATGTCCATTTCGTTCCAAGGTCCTCGCACGGACACAGCAGCAGCTCCACAGCATTGTCGGAATGAAACACCACACGGAACTGGCCAACTCAGCTGAGCACCATCTGGGAGTCGGCGGGATGCTGTTCTGGGCTCGAAGAAGGAACTTGACTTGTTGTGTTACACACAGGTTGAGGTGTCTTCGATAAGCAGTATAAGAGATTGCTGGAAGTTAAAACAATGGCTATGCGCCTCAAAGGGTGGCATTACTCATGCAATCTTTGCAACAAAGGGAGGTATACCTAGCAGGAGAGGAACTAGGGAAGCAAGGTCGGAACAGCAAGGTCGATGACGTTAGTAGGCGACCAGATGCGACCACTCTTATAGTGGACATGGGGCCGGGTTTTGTATTTGTAAAATTAAAATGTATGAGAATCCAAGCCGCGCGCTTCAAGTATATGCACAAGTTGTCAGAACCTACAATAGCATGTTCACTATGAACACCATTTACACCAAACCATAACCTTCAACTCCACCAATAGTCCAGTGTAAATGAATTCAACGCATACTAGTACGTAGGCCATGGCAAGCACGTAGTAGGTAGGATGATTTGCATAGCCGCCACACATGGTTGACAACGGAAGTTGTCAAAGAAGCAGGCTCAATCAACACGCCCCCCCCTCCAGCGTCTAGCCCCCTACTAACCCACGGTTCCCTGCTAGCCACAGCACCAATCTCACGCACAGTGGGAGCCATGAAAGGAAGGCGAAGTGCTGGGAGTGGCATTTGGTCGGCATGTCGCACAAACCACCTGCTCAGTCTCCTGCACCCTGCTACAGTAACCTCAGACTACCCCCTGTGCAGCAGAAAGACAGTATCTACATAAGAGGGAACGGTCTACATAAGACAGTATTTCCCCTCCCAAACGGCCAGCCCAGTCTCCTGGATGTTGTGATAGTCACCCCTGGCCGTCCCCCGAGTGCCGCAGAAACACAGTACTTGTAGCTGAACACCGGAACTTCCAATAGTACCACGCCTGGTCAGTCTCTGCACCCGGCAGCGGCATTTCAGGCACAATAGGAGGCTACTAGTACCGCCTGCTCAGTCGCCTGCACCCCGCAGCGACGATCGCAGGCACGTTGGCGAATTTCGCTGCAAGGCTGGTCGGCCAGACCACGGCTGTCCGGTAGCTCTGCCGCCGGCTCATCCGCTTGTTGTACTCCGCTAAAGCCGGACGCGTTTTAAGCAGCTTTTGAGAGAGTCCCAATCGGTCTACTGAGGCGAGAACCGGTGCAAAGCAGACGTCCGCAACGGACGCTTCCTTTCCGGCCAGGAAGACATTGTTGGGGTCTGACAGAGTCCGTTCCGCTTCGTCAAGAAGCGCCTCGAGTTGACGGAGCGACGTCGCCGCCGCGTGGCCCGCCGCAATCGTCGCTTCCAGCGTTTGGTAACGCGCGAGCAAAGCGCCATACGCGCTGACGAGATCGGGATTGCGCGCCATGCGCTCGACGCACACGCGGCGGCGGAAGCGCGTGACGGACTGCGCGGCGCCGAGAGACATTTTGGAGTAAGCGAGCGCCTCCTCATCCCACGACGCGACGCGACTGAGCCACGTGACAGCTCCGTCGCGGTCGACAATCGAACCGCCCATTGGCTGACCGATGCTGTCGAAGTACCTGCAGAGGGATCACACAGGAAGGGATTATGTTGTGGTGGGAGCACAGCGAGTTGGACTCATGGTGGAACAGTGCCCCAATTTAACATGAAAACAAAAAAAAAACGATTTGGTAAGAGAGGGTTCCGCGTCACAATCCGTACATGCCGATGCTGTCGAGGAACATTTGGTAAGATCATGATGCGATGGGATCAGAATGCGGGAAACAGTGCTCTAAGCTGGTAACTGGTAAGGCCGCAACCAAACAAAACGTCTCAAAACTTCTCAAAACGCGGGGAACGGTGCCCTCAGGAGACTGCGCAACTAAACATGAGAACGGGAAGAGCGAGGAAAGTGACCAATAAACTCTAACGTGGTGCTCCTCTCACTTGAAACTCAGAATCTGACTTCCGCAGTATGTTCAGGATGGCGAATTGTTTGAGTGGGTCACTTCAAGAGTATATACTCGAGTTACTAACCTGAGGATCTCGTTGGTGTCTGTAATTGTGTTGCTTCCGTAAACGAGCAGAGGGACTGTTCCTTTCGGATTGAGACGCAAGAACCAAGGCTCAAGGTTTGCCGCTCCGACAAAGTCCACATGGCACAGCCGGCAAGGGAGGCCCTTCTCCTCTAGCATCATGCGGACTTTGTGGCAGTCGAAGGAGCTATTGCTGTAGTATAAGTCCATGGCTTATCGTCTGTTACTTACGCCTTCGCCTGTACGTGACAGGAAACTAAATATGGAAACTGACGTAGAAAGCAAACGTTGCTCTAATCTCGTAAGTCAAATGCGACGACACTACAAGACTGAGTTGAAACGAGATGAAGTGGGACAGGGGGCGAGATGGGGTGATAGTCAGTGAAATGTCGAAATGGGCCCCAATTGCTGACGGGGGAGTTTGAGCGCACCCCCTGCTCAGCATTTGGCCCGATGCTGCTTGCCAGCCGTAGATTTGGTCCCAAAATGTCCGTTTGGGCAACGGGTGATGAGAAATGTGCGACTTGCAAAAATTGCGGATTGTATCCGTTTAGCGATTCGCCCATATGTCTGCTGCTCTGTTTCAGGGTTGAGAGAGAGAGTATTGATTCTCATATAAGTTGGATCAGCATGTATGTCTTGAGACTACAAAAGTCCTCGCTTCGTTACGAGTCATTCCATACCGAAATCGGGCGCGAAACCACGCGACTGGCTCAGACATGAGTTGGCTGGCGTTATGTGCTTGTCACCATTGACGAATCAGGGTTTGGACGCTTAACATGGATTTTTTCCCCATTCAGGACTTGACACCTGCTGGCGGCAAAACCACCCGTCCCCTCTTGCAAACTATCTAACAGGTTGAGATCCACGTAGGCAAGATAAAGCTCCTAGGCATCTGTTCACCCAATTAAAGAGCTTGATTGACCTCCAAAAAGATACGCTGTGGAGGGGAAAGTGGCGAATCTGAGTGTGCCTTTGCTGACTGGCCTTAACCCCCACCCCGAACACCCGCGGGTTTGTTGTCCAATATCGTCCCAGCTTTGAGCTGCGGGCCAGCTTCGCCTCGCCATCACAACCGTAGGTTTGGACTATCCGCCAAGCGGATCTGCCACTGGGACCACCTGTGCAAGGCCTGCCGTCGTGGCGTGGTCTGGTTGCTTGTTTCCGATCGCGCTGGACCCTTCCGATATAATTGGGCCAAGCAGACGCATGCGGATGATCCACCAACCCAAACCAAACCCGGCTAGATCGCGCTCATTCCACCCGTTGTTGCCTCACATGCTCCTCTCAACAAGCATGCGACCACCTCGCCTCATCTGCTCACGAGCATGCCAACGTGGCGGTTAGCTGCTTTCGAGGGCCAATCCCAAGGGCTGATCGTATGCGCTCCGTCTACCTCGCCCATTCCACTCCACTCCCGCCCTCTCTACCTTCCACTATGTGACTGGGCCACAATACCAAGTTTGCTCCTGATCCGCCGACTCTCTCGGCTCCACCAGTCCAAAGCCTTCTCCCCCTGGCCAGATTTATTGCCCAGGTTTCTCTTAGGTTTGATCACATCAGCCCAGGTCCGACCTCTTGTTGACGCTCCATCCAGTGTTTCGTGTGTCTGGCTTCTCGTTGCTGTTCTACTTTTCCTGAATTAGAAACTTTCGCTTCGCTGTCCGCCGCTCAACCTCCACCATGAATCAATGCACCCAAGAGAACTCTACATGGAAGTCTAGCACGAGGGAAGATTTTGGCGACTATATGCTCATGGTAGGTTGCTCATCCTTACTAAGCCAATTTCGTGCTTGCAACGAAGCGATCGGTCTCCTCTTACGGACATTGTAACAACCATGTGTCCGATTTCGACTCAGCAATTATCAGTTTTGGATTGTAAAGGGAGCCGCACTTTCCCTTGCTATGTTCTTCTCTCACCCATTAATCCCATTTCGCTTATTCCCTCACAAAAACACGCACACCCGTCCACACCTTTTATCTCCCCCCGTCCCACTCTCTCCTCTACCTCGCTTACACTCAATCATGTCTGCTCCATATCCTGTCCGTCTCCCTCCAGGTTCAATGCCTAATAGAACGATGCCTACTCATCGACTTGAGTCGCGATGAATGCGCATACACCTTAGCACGGCGGGCCAGAATCGACCCTGCTGTTACTCTTGCAGGTGAGAATTGGGATGACCAAGCATCACTCAGCCAATCAGTTATCGAAACTCTGCTCTCATGCGGTTGGGGCAGACGTTTTGGGTATGAAAGCTTCCACTATCAGTTTTACGAGCACATATACGCGTAGTGTATACATTGTGTATCAGTTTACTTATTCGGATTCCTTGTCTGTTCTGTTTTGTGCAGTGTGGAAGGGGCTTGAGAAGCAAAACCCTGCATTTTTCGAGGAGTACTCGTGTCGGCCACACAACAGCGAGACTCGCAAGGCCAGGCGCGCTCAGCAGGCAGCGCATCAACAATTGTGCTCCGCGAAGATGCTTCAGTACCTAGACGCCTGGCAATTGCCTTACACCGAAACTTGAGCTTGGGTCGGTTCCTGGAGAGCGATCCTTATCACGTTGAAAGGTCTCGTCGGGGCCCAAGGTCTTGCTGGTGCTGCCTGATGGCCTGCTCTGCACGCCGAGTGAAGATTATTGTTTTCAAGATCCGCTGTGGAGATCCCAGCATGCTGCTGGCTCACTTGCCTGCTTGGATGATGCTGCTGTGCAACAATGCGGGCTGATTTTGGATCATTCATTGGCTAGGTGTCCTTAGGAGGAGGATCTAGCACCGAGGGCAGTAGGGGTTTGAGCTTGTTGCCCTTGTACATAATTCTTTGCAGTCCTAGTGTGTGCTTGTGTGTGTGTGTATTTGTCTTTTATCGTCACCTACTTCCACCCACTTTGTGGAAATGAGTCTGAGTTCTTCTACTCAGCTCAGCTTGTAGGGAAGGGCATGCCCATGTCCTCCAGTCATTCATGCTTCTGAACCTGACAAAGCATCCACAATTGAAGTAAACTTGGCAAGTCACACCTAAGAAGCCTTTTGTTTAGAAATAAATACGTTTGCTTGGAAAGTAGATTCGGGAAGTTCTCAAGGCCAACCGAGACAATAGTAAGGCCAAACCATATCATACCGAGGACAGTTCCCAGCAAGGCCTTCTCGAACAGGGCCAATACCACCCACCAACCATTCCAACCACTCGCCACCCACCAATCCCCTCACTCGGCCACGTGGCGATTGATTCGCCAACCAACGACAGTCTTCGCATACTTTCATCGTTTGTATTCGCGATCTCTTTCGCACAGACCCGCATGGCTGCCAGATTTCTGGGATGACTGTTCAACATATCTATCCAGCCGAGTTTCTCTGGAACCTCATTTACCAGATACCTAATTGGCAGAACTTTCTGGCAGCCGTAATCTGGTGAGGTTTGGCTAGGAGGTCTGACATTAGGGTAGGATCCAGTTATTTCCTTCGATGCGCACCAATTAATCTATCTGCGGAAGCGGACATTATCGTCATGGGGGTCTGGAAGCTCCTGGTTCCTTTCATTCTCGTGGTCGTTACAATTGCAGGCCACACTTTTCCTGCTTTCGTCGAAGCGAAACGGCATGACCAGGCATTGACCACTTCAGATCTGACGAGCTCGTTAAACTCCAACGTTCAGGTATGGATGTACGGCCGTCAGCTAAGCGTCACGCAGCCTGCTTCCGTCAAGCATAGCGTTTCCCGTCGGTTGCTCCAAGTCCCTGACGAAGACGGCGACGGTTCGGGCGATTCTGGCGGGGATGGCGGAGATGCGTTGGAAGGCTCGCGGAAGAAGCGCAAGGGAAAGAAGAAGAAGAAAAAAGCTCGCAAGAGCAAGAAGTCGGGGAGCAAGTCGAGCAAGAAGGCGAAGCTTCGTCGACAGAACGCAATGCCGCGAAGGTCCGAGGAACTTCAGCAGGTGATTAAGGAGGTGACGTCACAGCTGGGGGAGAACGAAGAGGGGGGAGATCGTGTCGCGCGTAGTGCGGATAGCGACGAGGAGGCTCGCGGAGGGGGACGGGAAGAGGGAAATGACGGGGGAAACGCTGAAGCGAACGCGGAGATGAATGCGGTGATGAACGCGGAGAGGGACGATGAAGAGACGCCTTCACGAGCGCGCGAAAGCGTAGCGGATGAAAGGGGTGGCGGAGGAGAACCCGCGGAGGGCGCGGAACACGAGGAAGGCGGAGAGTTGGCGGGCGAGGCGGAGGAGAGGCGAGAGAAAACTGCTGCTGCTGCTGCTGCTGCTGCTACGGAGGAGGAGGAGGAAGAGGAGGCTGAGATCGGGGAAGGCAAGCGCGGAAATGTAGTCCCCCCCGCGGATGACGACGAAGTGGCGGAGCGGAAGGCGGAAACGGCGGACGCGGCGGAAGACGATGCCGGCGATGGGGAAAATGCACGGGGAGCGGAGGGAGATGGGGAGGGGGAGACTGGGGAGGAGGCGAATAGGCAGAGGAAGGCGAGGAATGCTGATCGCGAGGAGGGAGAGGGAGAGGGGGAGGGGGAGGGGGATGGGGAGGGGGACGGCGAGGGGCGGCGCGTGAAGAAAGAGAGTCAGGCGATTCCGGAGGCAGACGATGGCCCACGCGCGGAAAAGGAGGAGGGTGACGTGGAAGGGGGGGATGATGACGTGTCGAAGCGGACAGCCGAGAGTGAAGATTTGCTTATGGAATCTAAGGGGAAGCGGGGGACTAAGGGGGGAGATGCGGAGGAAGGGGGGGATGACTACGGGGGCGACGAGCGGAAGGAGGGGAAGAGGGGAAAGCGAGGTGATGGGGACGAGGAGGGCGAGAGTGGAGTGAGGGAGAAGAGAGTGAGGGAGGAGGAGGGAGGGGAGGAGGACGGAGAAGGGAGGGAGAAGAGAGGGGAGGAGGAAGGGTTTGGGGAGGAGGGTGAGGGGAGCAAGAGGAGGAGCACTGAGGAGGATGAGAACGAGGAGGGGAGGGTGGGAAAGGAGGGAGGTGGGGACGATGAGGGGAGCAAAGGGAGTGACGAGGGAGAGGAGGAGGATAGACCGCGAGCGAAAGCAGCACATGATGACGAGAGGGAGGAGGTCGAGGAGGGGATTAGGGTACGAGAGAAGAAGGTCGAAGAGGAGGGAGAGGGAGAGGGAGAAGGGGAGGGAGCGGGAGGTCAGGACCAGGAAGTTGGGGTGAGGAAGAAGGGGAAGGGGAAGGAGAAGAAGAAAAAGAGCAAGAAGGAGAAGAGGAGGAAGACGAAAAAGGGGCGCAAGGAACGGCTTGTGGAGGATGGGGAGGAGTTGGGGGAGAAAGAGAAGATAGAGGGGAAGAGGGAGGTGGAGGGAGGCAGTGGGGGCGGTGGGGAGGATGAGGGGGATGACATGGAGCGATCGGAGGAGATAGATGATGAGAATCAGGTGCAGCGAGAAGAACGGGCAGAAGCAGCGGAGTTAGATGGAAAGTCCGATGCTGCTGCTGACGCTGCCAACACAGGCAACACAGCCGATGCAGGCGGGGCAGGTGGGGGAGGAGCAGGTGGAGCAGCAGGTGCAGCAGGGATGGAGGAGGAGATGGATTCGGCTGCAGTGACGCCAGGGCAGGACGAGATGATTCCCGGATCAGGTGCGACTGACCGCAGCACCAGCAGTGGGAACGGTGCAGATGGAGGTTCGGAGGGAGGCTCGGAGGGAGGCTCGGAGGCGATTACCGGGGCGGGGGTGGGCGGCGATGTGTTCGGGCGGGCGGGGGAAGGGAACACAGGCGGGGAGGAGGGCGTGAGGGCAGGGGAGGGGAGCATGGATACGGGGGAAGGGGGGGGCATGGTTGTGCGTGACGGGGGGAGCATGGGTGCGGTGGTGAGCGAGGAGGAGATGGAGATTCTGAAGCACCTGCAGGAGGACGTGGCGGTGAGGATGAGTGAGGAGGAGCAGATGGAGCTGGAGGCAGGGGCCGTAGCGGATGCTGATGCCCACTCGTCCTACATGCAGGAGGTCATGGGGATCAGACGGAACTTTAAACCGACACTTATGGGCGTGAAGGTGAGCTCGTGGTGGTGGTGGTGGGTGGAGTGCTGTTGAGAGGGGTGTTCTGGGGCCGTGGCGGATGCTGATGCACACTCGTCATACATGCGGGAGGTCATGGGGATCAGACGGAACTTCAAACCGAACCTTATGGGCGTAAAGGTGGGTGCAGTTCGGTTGAGAGGGGTGAGTTTGGTCCTGGAGCGGTGGCGCGCTCGTGGTACATGCAGGAGATCCCATCTCCCCTCTTCTCCGTCTCCCCTTTCCCCTCTCTTCCTTCTCTCGCCCCTCCCCCCATCAGGATCAGGCAAGCAAGCACATGCGGCTGCACATCTCCCATATCGTTTATCCGCCCCTGCCTTATCCTCTCCCATCACATCTCCCCTCTCCCGTGTCTCCCCTTTCCCCTCTCTTCCTTCTCTCTCACCTCCCCCCATCAGGACAAGGCGAGCAAGCACGTGCTGCCACACATCTCCCAGATTGCCCGCACTTCCCGCCTCGCCTAGCTTCTCCCCTCTCCTCTTGCTGTCCCCCTTCCCCCTCTCCCATCAACCCCATCAGGACAAGGCGAGCAAGCACGTGCTCCCACACATCTCCCAGATTGCCCGCACTTCCCGCCTCGCCTAGCTTCTCCCCTCTCCTCTCGCTGTCCCCCTTCCCCCTCTCCCATCAACCCCATCAGGACAAGGCGAGCAAGCACGTCATGCCTCACATCTCCCAGATCGTTCGCTCCCTCGTTTATCCTCTCCCTTCCCATCTCTCGCCTCGTCTCCTTTTTCCCCTCTCTTCCTCCCCCCTCCCCTCCCCCATCAGGACAATGCCAGCAAGCACGTGCTGCCACACATCTCTCAGATCGCCCGCACGTCGCGCCTGGCCTTCCTCAAGACAAGCTCCCACCTCACCTCCCAGATCACGCCCTACTTCGGCTCCTCCTCCCCCCTCCTCGCCACCCTCCTCTCCTACCTCCTCCTCCTCCTCCCCCTCGCGCTCGTCATCGGTCTCTTTGTTCGCATGCGCGCGGCTCTCTCCCATCCCATCTCCCCTCTTCCCGGTCTTCCCTTTTCCCCACTCTGCTCTCCCTTTCGCCTCTCTCTTCTCCTCCCCTCCCTCCATTCAGGACAAGGCGAGCAAGCACGTGCTGCCGCACATATCCCAGATCGCCCGCACATCCCGCCTGGCCTTCCTCAAGACCAGCTCCCACCTCACCTCCCAGATCACGCCCTACTTCGGCTCCTCCTCCCCGCTCCTCGCCACCCTCCTCTCCTACCTCCTCCTCCTCCTCCCCCTCGTGCTCGTCATCGGTCTCTTTGTTCGCATGCGAGCAGCTCTTTCTCTTCGCCGCATCGTGCACCTCGCGAACCTCTACCTGTTCCTGTACTGCTTTGTTCTCCTTGTGGCGTGCTTCGTTATAAGCGCGGAGCCGATGGCGAGTTTGAAGAAGGTCGCGGAGCATAACTACTTTGTGCTGCAGCTGCTGCAGGGGGCGGGCTACCTCTGCTACCTCGCGCTTCAGGCAAGTACCTCAACCTCCAGGCAGTATGCGGCCTATGATCCCCTCTGGCTCCATCTGTAAGCAGCTCTTCTGTGTTGACTAAGAAGGTCGCGGAGCATAACTACTTTGTGCTGCAGCTGCTGCAGGGGGCGGGCTACCTCTGCTACCTCGCGCTTCAGGCAAGTACCTCAACCTCCAGGCAGTATGCGGCCTATGATCCCCTCTGGCTCCATCTGTAAGCAGCTCTTCTGTGTTGACTAAGAAGGTCGCGGAGCATAACTACTTTGTGCTGCAGCTGCTGCAGGGCGCGGGCTACCTCTGCTACCTCGCCCTCCAGGCAAGTGCCCTCATGAGTTTACCTGCAATATGTTGCATGTATTTACTAGGGACATGTATTACCAGGGGCATGTATTAACAGGGGCATGTATTACCAGGGCTGCAGAGCATAACTACTTTGTGCTGCAGCTGCTGCAGGGGGCGGGCTATCTGTGCTACCTCGCCCTCCAGGCAAGTTCTTTCCTGAAATCAGCACAAAAAGGTAGTATCTTGCCTCTGGTCCCGTCTGTAAGCACCTCCTTCTGACTGGACTAAGAAGGTCGCGGAGCATAACTACTTTGTGCTGCAGCTGCTGCAGGGGGCGGGCTACCTCTGCTACCTGGCACTGCAGGCAAGTGTTTCCCCCACATGGTTCCTGCCAATGTGCCCCGCAATCCTCTCTCATCCGTCATCCCTGGCCCCTATGACTTCAGGGCCTGTCCCTGTGTGTGACGCTCCTTACAATCTTCCCTTCCCCCTCTTCTCTCCCACTCCTCTCCTCTCCCACTCCTTTCCCTCTCCTCTCCCACTCCTTTCCCACTCCTCTCCCACTCCTTTCCCACTCCTCTCCCACTCCTCTCACACTCCCCCTCCAGGGTCTCTCCCTGTGTGTCACCATCCGTTCATCAGAGAGGGGGCAGGGGTTCATTCGCCTGCGCGCCGTGCTATAGCTGCTGGTGGCCCTGGGGTTGGGGCTGCACTCCTACATCACCGTCTTCGAACCAGAGGGTGTTCAAACCCTAAACCCTCATGCTTACTTCTTCTCCTTTCCTCTCCTCCCTCCGCCTCCCCCTCCTCCTTCCCATCCCCCTCCCTTTCCCCACCCCTGCCCCCGCCCCCTCCTCCCTCTTGTCCCTCCCACCGTTCCTTTTTAATATCAGGGTCTTTCCCTGTGTGTCACCATTCGCTCGTCGGAGAGAGCGCAGGGCAAGTTCATTCGCCTGCGCGCAGTGCTGCAGCTGCTGGTGGCCCTGGGTGTGGGTCTGCACTCCTACGTCACTATCTTTGAACGTGCCATGCTCGACCTGCCCCCGAATGCCTCTGCTGGCACGTATGCGGCTTATGCGTGCTGCTTCTTCTTCCTTGTGCTTATATCGAGGGGCCCCAAGCGGCACGAGGATAAGGACAAGTAGGGGTGAGAGAGAGGTGGATTGAGTAGGCAGTGAGTGTTGTAGGTCTGGCTGTGTGTTGTTTATTGGCTATAGGAGAACTCACGACAGGTGCTTGCAAGTTGCAGTGTCCGTATGAGGGCATGGTAGGACTTAGTGTTTAATTGGAAGATTTTGAGCTGGTTTGAAAATATGTTACACGCTTGTATGGTTCAACTCTTCAGTCTGTTGGGCTGAGAAAAGCCCTTAGGATCTTTCAAGGCTAAGAGCGTATTCCTACGGGGCCACCTCGTATCAAGAATGAAATTGACTTTTGTTTACGGTATAAAACACCTTATATCAAGAATAGACCGAACCAGCGCACCAATGAAAATGCTCGCACACCCAGAAGTGAACGTGCTGATTTTCCGACGCACGGTTCCAGTTGACGCGAAGTCGTCAGTCCAGTGAATGCGGCCGACAAACAGTCATGCGAAACTGCACACGGTGGCAGTCGTGCGCCGCGCGCGAACGTGCAAAGTGTGCAAACTTGTTCATGCTGGGTCGCAACATGCCACATCAGCTGTTGATGGAGTCACACATGTGGGTTAACCGGCAACTTTTACTGATATGAGGTTTTGGCGAACTTGTCAATTTACAGGCAGGAGTACCATTCTTGATACGAGGTGGCCCCGTAGGAATACGCTCTAAGACTCTGATAGAGATGTTGTATTGCGGAAGCGTTTAATGATAAGTTGTTGAACCACCTTGCACTAGTATGTGAGAACAATATAGATTAATTATAAAGAGGTAATACAAGCTTTTATAAGATTACAAGGAATATGAAAGGATGCAATAACCGTTTTGCTTGTTGCTGTTGCGGTTCGATACAGTGACGACTCGGGCAACTGCTCTATATTGAGTCAGTTGTTTGTCCTTGCTGTCGCGCTGTATTTGTCGAGTCAAAGGTCGCAGACCTTTGACCTTCGCGTAACCTCCAGCTGTTACTTTTCTGTCAACCTCCTCGGTTCACTCGCCATTGCTCCACTGTAGTTTGCCTTGTCAGAATCCCAACCACTAGACCATTGGGATAAAAGGGCTTGTTTGTGTAGCGGGTCCGTGCGCCCATAACCCCCCAGGCAAACGCGCCTGTAACCCTCCCTAGGATCGATCGGGGATCTCACAGTGCAACTCTACTGACACCCCCCCACAGTGGGAGGCCCAGGACTGAGCACAGCGGCAACGGCCTACATGTGCATACACCGGGATTCGAACCCGAGACCGCTCTGATACCATGTTAGAATAAGCAGGAATGAATGAGTGAACTAGGCAAGAGGTGAGTACAAGTAGGGGAAACCTAACCCTGAAGTATTGTACTCACTAAGGAGTGACCCTACTGTAACCCAAGCGTTAAAGCTGTCGCCTACATACTTCCTGCGGGAGGCCTAGATTTATCACTTGAAAACACGGTAGCACCTAGCTTCGCTCCTACCTTGAGTGGCGAGGTGCAGTTACTGCTTTGTGACAACAGAACCTCACCTCTGAAAATTGGGCGAAACAGGATTGGTTGCACGTTGTGGCGAAATCGCCAACACAACCCTCTCCTCCCGAAATATTTACCCCCCACCCAAACCTTTCACGAAACTGGCGGGATTCGCCAGTTCTGTTTGAAACATTCGCTCCCTCATTTCTGGAAAATGGTCATTTCGTTCCCCAATTAGCATCCGTCCTAGGGTGTGGACCCGAAATGCCCCCAAAAAATACCTTTTAGTATGTAGACCGCAACTTTAAGTTACTTGTTTCCAACACTCCCCTTCGCTTCCGGAGTGTCGTTGCTGGTGATGTGTCCTTGTCCAGTCAGCAACATGCAGTACTCGAATTTCTGCTTTCCGAGTTTCTTGGTCAAATAATCGACTGCCATCTCGGACGTGGGGCAGTAGGATAGCTCGAGTCTCCCTTTCTCGATCTTGTCTTTCACGAAGAAGTATCGCAGAGCAATATGCTTCGTCCGGTTCGCGAACCCGTTCTTGTTCGCTATGCGGATTGCAGATTGATTGTCGCAGAACACAGAGAAGCTGGGTAACTGGGCCAGCTTTGCTTCTTCCAGCAGTTCGCGAAGGTCTGTACCTTGGTGGCTGAGCAGAGTGCAATGTATTCTGCTTCAGCTGAGGAGAGGGCGATTAGTTCCTGTTTGCTCGACTGCCACGAGATAGGTCCGATAGGCTCGAGTCGGTAGATGTAGCCGGTGCGCGAACGTCTGTTGTCGGAGTCGCCGGCGTGGTCGGCATCGTAGCCGATTAGTTTGGGCGTCGTGGTTTCGGTTTTGTAGTAGGTCAGGCCGATTGTCGGGGTGCTGACGAGGTAGTGAAGTGCGCGGTCGAGCTCCGCCATGTGTTCTGCTTCAGGCTTCTTGAGGTAGGTAGCGAGTTGGCTCGCTGAGTATGATAGGTCCGGCCGGCAGGTGACGGCTGCAAAGAGCAGGCATCCCAGTTTTCGTTGATAGTCGCGTACGCCGGCGGGTTTGAGCGGAGCTGTTGTTTCCTTGTGATTTCCGGCGGTGTAGCGGTAGGGCATAGGGATAGCGGCTGGGGTAAGTCCGAAGCGCTTGGCGATGGTGTCGGCGTATTTCGTGGCGCTGAGGTAGATCGCGTTCTTTTCTTCCTGTATGTTGAGCCCGAGATACTGTGTGACAGTGGATGAAACGGTGAGTGTGAGATCCCGCTGCAATTCCCCTTCGAACCAGGTCGTGATGCCGTCGGTCGAGCCGATGTAGAGCAGATCGTCCACGTAGAGGATCAGCAGGATGTAGTTGGTGCCTTTCGTGAGTCGGTACATGCCTTGGTCGTGCGGTAGTTGGCGGAATCCGATGCGAATTAGTCGGGCGTGTAGGTACTGTTGCCACAGCCTCAGAGCCTGCTTGATTCCGTACAGGGATTTTTGCAGTTGACAGACTTGGTTAGGGTCTGCATTAGACCCATGTGGTTGTTCGACGAAGATTTCAGCATCGACAGGGGCGTAGAGGAAGGCGTTGGCGACGTCGATTTGGCGGAGCTTCTTCCGCTTCATAGCGGCTATCGCGAGGAGAATCCGCAGTGAGGTGTGTCGGCTAACTGGTGCGAAGGTTTCGGTGAAGTCTCGTCCGTGCTCTTGATCGAAGCCACGCACGACCCATCGTGCTTTGAACTTGTCGATGGTTCCGTCTGCCTTGGTTTTCACGCGGAAAACCCACTTCCCGGTGAGTATCGTCTTGTTGCGTGCCACTCCGATGGGTACGACCTTCCAGGTGTTGCGTTCTTCCAGTGCTTTTAATTCCCTGTCCATGGCTTCGCGCCATTTTTCCCTGTGCTCCCCCCCAAGAGCCTGCTGAACCGTTGCAGGCTTCTTTGGTGGCGTTGGTCCGTGGACGGTGGTGACGAGTCCCAGTATCTGCAGCCCATTCTGTGTAGCGGGGGAGTGTTGGATCCTCTGGATAAGTTGCTTCGTCTCCCGCTTCTGGATCAGGTAGGGAATTGGGCCCTACGCGTTCGGAAATGTTGGTGTCGACCGGATGATGTGTAACGTAACCGTTGTCAGCGAAGTCGTAGAAGACTTCGGCGTTGATGATTTCGCGAGGGTTGTCGTCGTCCATTGGAATATCCACCGAGCAGTAGGGAAGAGGTCCGGCTTCTTCTGAAGCTCTGTCCACGTTTTGCTCGTCCCAGTCAGCTTCATCTGCTGCCGAGGCGAAAGCTCGGTCCCCACGAAATCCGCCTGTGACGTCGCGTGAAGTTTCCAAGTTGTACAGGTACGTTGGAAGTGTGAGGCGTTCGTAGAAGATCACGTCACGTGCTGCCACTGTTTCCTTTGTGTGGACGTAAAAAATCTTCCACGCGTTGTAGTGTTTTTCAATGCACAGGTGTAGTCCCCATTGTGCGCGTTGGGAAAATCGACCGGCGCGTGCAGCTGGGGGTCGGTACTGTACCATGCAGCCGAACACTCGTAACATTTTTGTGTTGGCCAATTTTCCTGTCCACAGCAGATGCGGTGATGCGTTGTTCGGGAGCGATGATGACGAGAGCAAGTTGTGCAGCATGACAGCGTGGTCCATTGCCTCGGGCCACTGGTGGTTGGGTAGCCGCATGCCACGTAGCAGCTTGCGCATGGTGTTTTGGAGGGTCCTGTTCATTCTTTCTGCCACGCCTTGCTGTTGATGAGCGTAGGGAAGGGAGATGAGTCGCTTGATGCCTCTCTCTGCCAAGTAGTGCTTGAACCTCTGTGGCTGATATTCTCCTCCCCCGTCTGACTGGAAGCTTTTCAGTTTCACTCCTGATTCTCGTTCTGCTACTGGAAGCCAGGCGACGAAGGCTTCGAAGGCCATGTCGCGGCTCGGAAGGTTGAGGTGCCAGACGTAACGAGTGGCGGCGTCGATGAACGTGATGACGTAGTTGTACGCTCCTTGTCCATTTTCACGGTTGAACAGTATGTCGCTGTAGACCTTCTCCAGTGGTGCGTATGCCGGCGCGCTTGGGTTGTGGTGAGAGACGAACGGCTGATGAGGTAAGTCGGCTTCAGGGCAGGTAAAGCACGTTCCTCGAACTCGTTGAAGTTCTCTGCCGTCGGGTAGGAGTAGCGAGTCTTTGTCAAGTACTCCTGCTCTTATCGTTTTGTTTAACGTTGTGTTTCTCGGGTGTCCCATCCTTGCATGCCAGATGTCTTCGCCGGCACGATGTCCGGGTGAACGCCTGTACAGGTCAGAGTTGGAATAAAATCCTGCGGTGAAGTTTGCGCTTCTGTCGACTTCCCGTGGAGTTGGAGTCAACTGCTGTGCAGGAGTCGGTGGCGTGTCGTCGATGAAGGCCGGTGCTGTTGAAGGACCAGCGATTGGTGCTTGTGTTGTCTCTGCTGCTGCCGGTGTTGTTACTGCTGCTGCCGTCGTTGTTTCTGTTGCTGCCGGTGTTGTCTCTGCTGCTGCCGGTGTTGTCTCTGCTGCTGCCGGTGTTGTCTCTGCTGCTGCCGATGTTGTCTCTGCTGCTGCCGATGTTGTCTGGATTGTTGCTAATGCTCTC